AGTGGAATCCTTGTTTCCAGCTTTATTGTAATCCAATATTAAACATTGTAATCCAAATATTGTATATTGTAATCTAAATATTCCAATCCTTTTTCCAATCCTCTTTACAATCTGGAAAGTTATATATTTGTAATCCCATTGAAACGTTAGTGGAATTTGAACAAGTTAATTACAACTTGCTATCTCCAGTGCAACCCACAGCGAGAGTAAAGACACTAAGATATATTCAAAGTTATGGGCAGCCAAGGGGTCCTAAATACAATCCAAATGAGGATAAATGTGGACAAAAGGCCTTGATCCATGGCCTGTCCCAGAATTTATTATCTTGTAAAGAAGGGATGGTTCGAGGATGATTGATAGTGAGGATAGTGGGAATTGAGTGGGGTGAGTTGAGCAGGCCAGGTAGAGAGTAAGCATTTCTGTAGTATGCAGAGAGAAAGATAGGCAGAAAGACCAGTGTACATAACTCATTTGGGATAGCGTGTCGGTGAATTTAGGAGGCCATTGCTTCAGTTGCTGTACCTGGGAAGTGATAGCCTCTTATTTTGAGGCCTCATACCCAGTTGGGCTCTGACATCCTGCTGCCTTTAACCATTTTACAGGGAACAGAATATAAGGGAACAGGAAATTGTAGGTCAGCCTTAAAGATTACTTATCAAGAGCTCAGGGTTTAGCTCAGAGGTTTAAGTGCCCTCCTGACAAACATAAAGTATTGAGTTTAAACCGTGGTACCAAAACAAACAGACAAAAGTTTACTTATCTCAGTACCTTAAGTAGCCTTATTTGTATCACTTAGAGCCAATTAAAAGAAGGGGAAAATAGCATAGCCAGGTCTCTACAGTATCAGTACATGGAGACAAGGCTCCATTTAAATAATGCAGAGATAATAGTTCTGCATTCAAGGAGAGCTGTCCACTTGGTCTTCTGTAGGCTTTACGGTCTGCGTACCTGGCCTTCTGAGATGTGATCAGAATCATCACATTTGGCATACGGTGTCCATTTGGCCTTCTACAGGCTTTACTGTCTGCATACCTGGTGTTCTGAGCTGTGACCAGAGTTACTCATCACATTTGGCATACAGCGTTCTAGAAGCCAGAATTTCCAAATATTTCCAGATTTTTTTCTGCAAAGCAGTTCCAAAGGCTTCTAAATCTATGGTCAAACACCATCACAGCAAGGAACCTACTTCTGTGGTATCAATACCTATTTTTATTATTTTCCTGAGTAACTGAAATGCAGTGCCTGACACCTACAGTGTAAAGGAGGAGAGGTTATTTTGGCTCGTGGTTCTAGTCTGTGGTCATTTGATTCCAAGGCAAATGCACATGTTACCAGGTACATGTTACCTGCAGTAGGAGAAAACTGTTCACTGCATGGTTACCAGAAAGCAAAGAGTGAAGGGGAGAACTTGGGAGGGCGATACACTCTTACAGGCTTCAGTGACCTGTCTTTTCCAATCAGGCCCCACCTCCTAACAGCACATTCAGCTATAAACTCATTTATATTAGTACCCAACCTTTTTAAGAGCATGACACTTTGGGAGGACATTTTAGATATGAATAGTAAAGTCATTTCTGCCTTTGAACCGCAAACCACATGTTAAATTCCTCAAAATTGTGATCTAAATTAAGCATTCTCTTCTTTATGTTGTGAGTGTTAGGTGTTGTGTCCAGCATTGGAAAAGCTGTTATAAATCGTATTTTAGGGGAGGCTACAATAGTTTTTGTACCCTTCTAAATTGAATAAAACCTTTTTCAATAAGAGAATCACCACTGAGATAAATTTTGCCACACATTATTTCCATATGTTGAGATACATTAAATCAGTATTCTTTGTCAAAGGTCAGTACTTTAAAGTGTTATACTTTATATAATCTCAGAAATCGATAAACATGTGAATATAACTTCTTTGAGTCCTTTAACATTGTTTCAATTGCTGTTGTTTATTCTGAATAGAACTTTATAGCTAAGAATATGATTTTGAAGTTAACTTATTTAAAATGTAGCATAATGTTAATTAGCTTTTCATGTTCTGTGAAGTACAGATAAGCATCTTTAATTTCTTGAGTCACATTTATATTTAAGCTCTGATGAAAATATTCAGAGTTGGGCAAATTTGTTTTATAGTTGGGCAATTTTGTGTGCAGTATTAGTAGTTTCACAGGTCCCCTATAATAGGGTAATACAGATACAGGTAAAACAATTTATAGGGATCAGAGGGAATGCTTTAATTTTTTTGCAGTGATGATTTTAATTTAGTCAATTTATGCTGTTTTGGATGTCTCTGTTACTCCTTTTTTTCTAATCATATATTGTATGTCTATCTTTTAAGTTTTTTTGTTATGTTCTGTTTTGAGGTGAGGTCTTGCTAAAGTTAATTTAGTATGAATTAAAATGTTGGGTGTTTAGAATTATGTAATGGAAAATAGAAGTATGAAGAGTAATGTGGGCAGATAGTATGGAAGAGAAGAGAGAAAGTGTGAAAGGAGTAGTATTCGTAGTTTCTTTTCTTTCATCCCTGATTTTAATTTTTTTAAGTAGAAAGGCCAAAAGAAGTTTACTGGAAAAATAAGTACATAATAAAACAGTTGAAAAATGGGACAAGAATATAAAGTTTCCTGTAGCAATGATTTTCAGACAGGGACAGAGTATAACAGCTGAGTTTGTCAAGGAAAGAGTTCAACTTACCAAAAATAATGAAGTAAGTTTTCTGGTTGAATACCTCTACTAAAATAGTAAGAAGTAGAAACCTGTATTTTACCAGTAGTAGATTTATGTTTTTTACTTTGTTAACATAATTTAAGGATTTTATTAAAGTTGCAAGTCTGTTATTCATTAACTTTGTACTCTTCGATTCCCATTTTTGAAAGTCTCCTTACCCAAAAGACTTATTAGTTTTTGAAGGTGCAGGTGATACTGTATGTTAAAGAATTTATCTGAACTTTTTCAGATACTAGAGACTCTTAACAAAAGAGAACATACTCCCACAGTGGGTAGATTTGTAGTGGGAAAGGGTTTTAGAAACAAAGGTAATTACTTGTTTATGGTATCTTAATAATCAAAACTTGAGTTGGCCCTAAGCTTTTTTATTCTTTGGGTTCATATTTCCTGTTAGTATACATGGAAAATGTGAACTTTTGTCAAGAATTTATGAAGATTACCTAGGAATGCTTTCACTTTTGTAGTCATAGTTTCAGCAGGCTATATTCCTCTGGGTGGGCTTGCTTTTTATTTGCTCGATTCTGATTTGTTTTTGAAGCAGTCATGTTCCTTGGTAGAGCATCTTCAGATTGAGTCACCCTACATATGATCCCCAGTTATTTCTTTCTTTACTCAAGACTGCCTTTCTCCTTCCATGAGATTTGTGTTACTCTTCCATGTGAATTTTAGTACATGTCTTTAGTTAAGCAAAGAACTAGTAATGTTTGAAATTATATTATTTTCTTAAGAACTTAAAAAATTCATAAACATTTTTAAATCAAAATTTTGGCAAAGTTAATAATGTTTAGGTAGAAGACTTTGCCAAGTGTTTCGGAGAGTAACTGACTCTTGAGGAGCAAATGAGGTGGATGCAGCAATGTGTGGAGGATAGTAGAATGTAGTTCTTAAGCAGCCTCAAAGCAAATATTGAAATGTATGAAATAATTCAAAACTTAGGTTTTGTGGGAACATATTCTTTAGGGATTATATTATGTATTTTGAAATACTGTATCTGCCCAAGAATTTTTTATTAATGTAGTAAGGCTGTAGGATACATGCTTTTACAGTACGCACATATGCTAAGTGAGCATTAAATTTTTGTGAAATTTTATTGCTAGAAAAGAGCTTAGATTTTGTTAAACTTGAGGTGTTAAGTCCCTTGAGATTGTATGTATGCATACATACACATGCACTTATTTTGTGTACAAATTGAACACTGTCAAATAAGTCAGTTAGCTTTTGTGTTAAAGAGGCATAGATGTAACACATTAAGCTCACATCTCCTGAGATGGTTTTTTTAAGGTGGAAGTTTTACTGTGTTGCTCATGCAGGTCTTGAACTCATGGGCTCAAGCAGTCCTACTGCCTCAGCCTTCCTACTGGTACTATAGGCATGTGTCTTCATATCTGGCTCCCTATGTATCTTTGTACTCAAGATAAGACTCAGCTTTAATTTTGAGCCAGGATCTTGCTACATAGGCTAGGCAAGCCTCCAAATTTGAGATCCTCCTCTCTCAGCCTCCCTAGTTCTGGGAATATAAGTATGAACCAACTTGCTCAGTTTGAGAATCAACATTTTAAGTTTTTAAAATCTTATGAATGATTACTAAGGATTACTAAGGATTTCCATATTACTGAGAAGGGAAAAATTATCACACATTATAATTAAAATTTAACTTTCTTGAATTAATTGCTAATATATAGTTATAATTCTAATTTAACTTACATTGTATTGTAATTTAATTTACATTGTTCTTTGGAAGATGAAGTGATTGGGGATTAATTTGTAAAATTTCAAATTTTTGATATTTTTAATAGAAAATATATAGTGATTATACTAACATGTATTTCTGATTTTTCCATACACATATATAGGAGTATAGCTCATTTGAGGAAAAATAATACTGGCTGAGAAGAAAGTTTTTTGTTTTTGTTTTTTTTTTTGTCTTTTTGAGCCAGGGTCTCACTATGCAGTTCAGGCTGGCCTTGAGCTCACGTTATAGCCCAGGCTGGTCTCGAACTTGCAACGATCCTCCTGCCTCAGCCTCCCGAGTGCTGGGATTATAGTTGTGAGCTACCATGCTCAGCTAAGAAAGTTGTTTTTAACTTAAAGAGAATGAGGCTAAAAAATTGACAGAAAGCTGATCTTAGCAAAACCTGAGTTTTCATTCAATATATATACACTTGCATATCATTTATTTCCTTTTAAATATCATAACTACTTGGCCCTGATTTTTTTAAATACAGAGGTAAATGGTATTTTTTTTAAAGTGTGCAAGTTTCATTTTATATTTTTATGCAGGTTTTTCAAATAAGTTTGAAGAAGGTGATAACTGTGGGTTCTTGAAAGGTAAGTTCAGTGTTTTTATAGTAACTTTTAAAAATGCAATGTCAAGAGCACATTCTGAAGAGTTATTATATTATTTTAGTTAGGCGCAGGTCTCATTTACTTAAACCCAATATAAAGTGACTGTATCTGAGGCCCTAGGGATATTTTCTGGTTAGTAGTTGAATTCAGCCATCCTAATGTGGTTTCTTGGCACCTAGCTCAATAACCTGTGAAGTGAAAATATGAATGCTGGACTACGTTTAGAAAAGGAATAGGTAGAAGAAAGGACAAATTGAGAATTAAAATGATACTACATATATAAACACAGTTCAGGACCATTTCCATTCAAAGACAATGATGATTCTTCTTTTTTTGTTTTTTTCCAATTTGGATTTTTGTGATTGGGTAGTCCGGGCTGTCACTGAACTTTTGATCATCTTGTCTTAGTCTCTTGAGTGCTTGGATTATACATATGTGCCATCACTCTTGGCAAGAAATATTCTTCATAATGTGTATCACTGCTGCAACTAGAAGTATTTCTGTCATATGTACTAACGTTCTGTTTTGAATCAATGCAGAGAATGATGAAAATAGAATAATGTCATCAGGAGATGCTAGACTATAATAATAAACATTGCCAAGGACTTGAAACTTGTTATAAAATCCCTGGTGATTTGATACTTCCTTTATTTGGTAACTGTTGACCTGTGGAATCTTTATAATGCAGTATGTGTTGGAGTTCCAGACATTTATGTCCCTGCCCTGCTTCCTTCTAATTGAATGAAGGTAGAGCATATTGTTTAGTTTTTCTAGGCCACAGTCACCTATTCTGTAAAACGGAGGCCATCCATTTTATAGGTTTCAAGCAGACTAAGTGAGAATTCACATAAGAACAGAACACAACACTAGATACCTTTGTTAAGTCCTTCACAAATGTCGTCTGTCTCTCTTCAAATGTTTTGAGTCTTGAGAGGAGATACAGCTCAGTAGTAGATTGCTTATCTAGCATATAAAAGGCTTTAGGTTTGACCCTTAGCAGTGTATACATACACATATTTTAAGCTTGATTTTATACAGTTTTCCAAGTTGAAATCAAAACTAGACCTGATCACCTGCAAACTATTTTGAAATAAGGTTGAATCTTAATGTGTCATATAAGATGTTTTCTCCAAACTATTGCCAATCTGATTTTTCTCTTTTTTTCCTTTCTCACTCAAATGAAAACATACATAATATAGAACTAGTTAGAAATTTTTTTTGTCTTGTTTTTTTGAGATAGGATCCCTGTTACATAGTTTAGGCTGGCCTCAAACTCACTGTGTAGCCCAGGCTGAGCTTGAATTTGCAATAATTTTTCAGTTTCTCAAGTGCTGGGATTACGGGTACGTGATACCACACCCAGCTAGAATTGGTATTTATTTTTGCTACTGGGAATTGAACTTGGGACCTTGTACTTGTTAGGTAAGCACTGTGCCACTGAGCTATATCCCTGGCTTAGAGTCAGTATTTATGAGACAAAAATCAGCCACCCTTTTTATTCTTTTCCGTTTCTTTTTCTTTCTTTCTTTCTTTCTTTCTTTCTTTTTTTTTTTTTTATACCAGGGATCAAACTCAGGTCCTCATGCTTGCCAGGCAGGCACTTACACAGCTGAGCTAGACCCCCAACCCATTCTTTCCCATTTCTATTTAACAATTTCTGTTCTAATTCTCACTGCATTGAACTCATTTAATATCCAAACCATTTTCACTTATCTAAAGACCTTCCACATATCCCAGATGTATTAGTCACTTTCTCATTGCTGAGATAAAACAATAGACATCTGCAATTTAAAGGAAAAGAGGCTTATTTTGGTTCATGGTTTCAGAGATTCATTCATGCATAGTCAGCTGGTTGCAAAGCAGAAATAGAATGAAGGAAGGGAATGACACAGGAAACCTCCTCAAGTCAGCCAAGATGCAGAGACCAAAGCGAGAACCCATGTTCAGGGAGATATACCCTTTGAGGTCACCCCAGTGACCTGTCTCTTCCTACTGTACCTCACCTCCTAACAACACCTTATCTTCTCACATATTCAGCTGTGAACTCATCAGTAGACTAATATGATAATTATATTTACCTCATGAGCTTGTCACTTCCAGAAGCCTCATTTCAGAATGCACCAGACTTTATGTGGTTAGGGGCCATTTGGATCTAAACCATAGTAGCAGGTGGCTTTTCTAGAGATGACAGGAGAGATAGCATATGAATGCGAAAATTTGTCACAGAAAGTTTCGTGAAAACTTTTCTCCTGAATGTGCTTGCTTTTGACTTTATTTTTATTCTTGGTTTCCCTGAAAGAAAAAACAATATATAGGTCAAATTCTTCCATTTTCACAATTGTTGACAAGCCCCTGATGTTGTTTTGAGATCATGATAGAAACTTTTGTTTACGCATAAAATTATATTTGCAATTTTTTTCCCCATTTCTCTTTTTCCTTGAGCTAGTGCAATGTAATGATAAGGAGTTCAGGTTTTAGAATTGGATGCCCTAAGTTTGAGACTTAGATCCTCCTCTTGGCAGTTGTATTATGTTGAAGGTCTTTATTAACTTTTTGTATTTCATTTTCCCTATTTATAAAATGAAGTCTTATGCCCAGATTTAAAAGGTTAATACAGAACTGAGAATAAGAGTCTGGATTTGATCCTCAGCACTGAAACAAAACCAAAAACCAAAATAAAAGTAAAATGAATGCAGTGACATGCTTGTATTCTAGCTACTCACAAGGCTGGTGCAAGAGGATCAATAAGGGCAGTAGTTAGACCGCAGGCTAAGCAACATAGGGAGACCTGTCCACAAAAATAATACACCTAGAGTAATACCATACACACACTGCATTATATATGTGTTATTATTTTTATGTTGTATAATTAAGGGACCTTACCTGATCTTTTGATCATTATCTTGTTACTCTTTGTGCTTGGCTTTAATTTCTAGCTCTATTGAGATTATATCTTTTTTTCCCATACAATAACTTTGTTTTGAAATACTTTGATTAACAATTGCAAGAGCAGTACAGGAGTTTTCATGTATCTTTTACTCAGCTTCTAATGTAACTATTCTGTTTTACTTCCCAGAGTAGTTAGAGTAACTATAGGTTTTAGGGGAATAATTGGCCAAAGATAATATAAGACTACTTTTTCTTGTTAGGTTTCAAATTAATAGAATTTTTTTCCTTGAAGGAAATAGATGATAGTTAACTGTCCTCATTTCAGGGGAAACCTTCTAGAATTCTTTTCTGCTTTCTAACATTCTTTCCTGCCCAGCTGTCTTAAATTAAATCTTGCTCTCAAGAAAGTTTTGTTTTAGATGACTTCTTGTCTGCTATGGTTCAAAAAGGGGCCTGCAACTAGATCTCTGTGGATCATTGTTAAGTAGACTGATAGTGTTAATGTAGAAATTTGGCATGTGGCCTAGAAGCCGTTTGGTCACTTAATGTCATTACTATTAACATAAGGTCTCAGATATTAACATTAATGATATGTACAAAGATCTCTTGAAATCATCTCTCTCTGAATTTCCCAAATTGGTTTTGCTGGAATCTTCTGGTAAGCTTAAAGTTATATTAGCATAGAACTTTTAAATTTCGTTACTCACTTCTTGCACTTTCAGGAGATAGTCTGAGAGTGAGGGCTGGGGAATTCTTTTTCATATAATAAGAAAGCCTTTTCATATAATAAGACAGCCTTTAGTGAAGAGTTATCCTCGTATCACTTTAGAAACCCTGGTAATGTACTTTAAAAGTCAAGATACCCTCAAATTGTTTTATTCAGATGAATAAAAATTTGCATACATATTTAAGAAACTCTGAGATCTTAGAGTTAAGGAAAATAACAAAAATATATGGTGTTATAAAAAGAATAGTCATGTATTTTTAGTGATCTGTGGATCACATTTGAGAACCATTTGATCGCTTAATAGTTCAGATATTTCTGAAACCTTGGTCAGAGAGACATTTATAAAATTCTTATTTTTTGGCTTCTGTTGCCTGTGTTAGCACTTGGCAAAATAGTGGATTCTCAATGTTATACTTAACATACAGTATTTTAGATATAGTAGATAGTTTGTATGTAGAATCAACTCTGATTTGTTAAATGTCAAGAATGAAAAAGTTTATAGTTTATTAAAATATTTATTTTAATTTTGGCCAGTTTATTTTGTGACAGTTCTATTCTGTAGATATTATGTCTTTAAAGTTTATTCTTTGGATGCTACTCACTTGTTAAATTTTATTTAAGAATCTAATAATGACTGTGAAGATAATCAAACACGGAACAGAGGGTTTTCCAGGAGAGGCGGTAAGGGTCATGTTTTGGAACAATTTGTAATTAAGATAGAGATTGTAAACTAATAAAATAGCCTTTGAAAGAGCTAAAATAAAAATTCTAATTATGAAAATTTTGAAAGTATTTTAAAGAAAAATATTTGGGCATTTATTTTCTGCTTTTTAATACCTGGCTAAATATTCAATGTCTTCCTAATGTTCCTGAATGTTTAATCCCCTCCCCCACTACCTCAAGAAGGTGCTTTAAGTTATAGAAAAAAAGATACTGTAAATGTTTGTTAGTCACTATGTAGATAAACGAGAGAGGCGTTCATCTATAAATAAATAATCAGAAACTTGGGTAAAACAAGGAATTTTACATTATTTTTTATCTTTAGAAGTATTTCACTATACTCTGCTCATTCTAGCTTGTGAATTTGAAGTGAGAGGATGTAAAAATTGTCATAGGTATTTCTCCATTATATCTGGAAACATGTTCCACAAACAACATAATGAAATTACTACTGAATTACTAGAGATGTGCAAATCTGTGATAAAATGATAATATTTGAAACAACTTGGTAGATATACCTGGAAGCGTTTTTGCTGCAGTTAGAGATGCCCTTTTTGTCCACATTAGTAGCTATTGAACAGTTGGCCTTCCCTCAGGAAGCTAGCTAGTACTTCAGTTTGGATTTTACAGTATCACAAATCTTACTGTAATTTCACAAAGTAGTAAAGAATGTTTATGAAAACAGGTTCACTTTTAGCATTGCTTTTTTTTTTTCTTTTTCTTTTTTTGTTTTATATTTTATTTTGAGACAGAATCTTGTTGACCTGTGCAGGCTGGCCTTGAACTTTTGATCTTCCTCAGCCTCCTGAGTCTTGAGATAATAGGGGTGCAGCATGCACTCAGCTGCTTTTCTTTTTCTAACAACCAGTTTTTAGCACAATATTCAGAAAACATTGCCCACATTTTAAAATCCCTAATTATTGTCTGGAGAATAGAAAATATCTTCCTATTAAATTTAAATCCATTCATGTTTAAGTGAGGCAGTCAAAAGGTATTTGCAACTCTCTGTTCTTTGTTCTGACTTACAGACTAGTAGTATAGGATGGTTAGTAGGGACACAGCCTTTTTATAGGGTATTCCTGATTTCCAGTTTTTGTAGGTATACGCATTTGAGATTAGGAAGCTAGAACAAACTGATCACTCAGTAGATATGTGTGTATAAAAATTTATGTTGCAATATGGCATAACATAGTTGTACATATCATAAATGTATAATGCAGTGGTTTTTCACACACTGAACACACCTGGACCAAGAAATGAAAATTATCAGCACATCAAAAGCCCCCTTCATGCCTATTTTCACTGACACCAACTTCACTTCTGAAGATTTACCCTCTTATGATTTCTGACACTTTGAATTAATTTTGTGTATGTTTATGTACTTAACATAAAAGGAATTATATGTGGTATTTTAAAAGTGGTTCATGTTTGTAGTACATTGCAGTTATAGTTAACATAGGAAGTTGGTAGATGACGTTTCTCAATTCCTTTTTAAAAACCTCCTTTCTTCTCCCTGCCCTTCTTAGACCTTTTCTTTCACATATGTATATTATAGAATTATGTATAAATATTATAATATGTTACATGTTATATACGCATTATAAAATATATATTTAAAAATACATGATTGTTGTACATAAGGGGCTTATGTACGTGTAGGGACTTAGTGCATGTACACAATACTTTACAAGCATCCCCTTTAATCTCTTTTCCTGCCCCTTCATCTTTCCATCTTTCAGTTCCCTTCTTACTAATTTCATTACTTCCTGCTTCCTAGTGTCTGTTTTTTATTTTTCACTTTGTTTGTATGTTGTGGTTCCCATAAAACCGTGAAATAAACATGTGTCCGATTTACATCACTTAACATGGTTTCATGGTTCATTCATTTTCCTATAGATAACTCGTTTGTTCTTTGTTGTGGTGAAACATTACTCTATTGTGTATAAATACCACATTTTCATTATCCATTCACCTGTTGATGGATGTTTAGGCTGTTTTCAAGACTTAGCTATTACGAATTATATTGCTATAAACATGGATATAGATGTATTACAGTATAATGATGTCTTTAAATCTGGTAAGGAAATAGGTGGGTCAAATGGACTATTTCTAGTATTTAAGGAATCTCCATAATGATTTCCATAGTGGTTGTGTCAGTTTACACTCTTACAAACAATAAAGAAGGGTTCCTTTTCTCCTTGCAGCCTCCTCAACATTTGTTACTATTTGATTTCCTGCATTTATAGCCTTTCTTTCTGAGACGGAATCTCAGTTTTAAATTGCATTTCTCAAATGGCCAGTGATGTTAAGCATTTTTTGGTGTATATATTGACCATTATAGTTGCTCATCCAAGAAGTGTTTATTCATCACAGATGCTCATTTTCTAATTAGGTCTTTAAATGTGGGTGGGTGGGGTCTAATAATTCTGAATTCTTTATATAGTCTAGATAGTCTGAGTAGTAGCTCAGATAAAATTTTTCCCATTCTATAGATTTCTCTCGTCCCATTCCGTAGATTGTCTTTTCTTTGCTGTGCTGCAGAAGGTTTTTATTTTTTTATTTTTATTTTGAGGGACAGTCCCATTATGAAATGAAAGCTGGCCTTGAACTCTCTTGTGTAGCCCAGGCTGGTCTTGAACTCACAGCAATCCTCTTGCCTCAGCCTCCTGAGTTGCTGGGATTACTGGCATGCATACCACATCTGCCTGAAAAAGCTTTTTAATTTGATGTGCTCTCATTTGTTGCTTGTTGGTATTATTTCTTATCCTCCTGGAGTTTTGTTCAGGAACTAAACTGTACCTGTGTCTTTAAGTGTTTTAGCTATTTTGTTTTCCAGCAGATTGTTTTTGTTCTAATGTTTAGACCTTTGACCTGTTTTGATTTTAGTTTAGTGCACAATGGGAGAGGGCTAGGTTCAACCTTCAGCATGACGAAGGCCAATATACCCAATACTATTTGTTAAATACCAGTGAAGGTATTTAGCCCCTTTGTCAAAGACATGATAGGTGAGTATGTCTGGAGTTGTATCTCTATCTTCTGTTGTGTTCTACTTATCCACAAGTCTGGGTTTTTTTGCAAGTACCATGCTGTTTTTAACATTATATTTTTGTAGTAAAACTTGAGGTCTGGGATTGTGATATCCCCTGCCTTGTAATGTTACCCAGATTGGTTTTTGGACATTTTTCAGTTGGATATCTTTATTTTTATAGTTTTATTTTAAAGGATTTAAAATGTGCAAAAAGTTGCAAGATAGTATATATAGTTCCTAGATGACATTTATATTGGGAGTCTATTGATAAGTAGAAATAAGCCATTTAAGCAAAATTTACTGTCTTCATGGTTAATGCTTTTCTCTTTTTGGTCCCATTCAAGTGCTCTTTGGTGTCTATAAAGATACTGTCTTCGCCTTAGAAACCAGGGCTTTCACAATAAGCTGTATTCCCCTAGGCCTTTTGTGAAATTTTGAGACAGTCTTGTTAAATTGCTGAGTTGTCCAGGCTAGGGTTGAACTTCAAGCCTTCCTGATTTAGTCTCACAGATGGCTGAGAATATAGGTGTGTGCCATACCTATTACTTCATTCTTTTTTTATGGCTGAATTACATTTCATTGTATGGATAGAGATATACCACATTTTGATTATTCTTCAACTGATGGGATATATTTGGGTTGTTTTCACTTTGGCTACCAACACTAATGTTCCTGTGAAAATTTATATACACTTTGGGTTATGGCTAGGCAAAAAACCTTCAGGCATAATTTATAATAAACATAGTCATAAATTTACCTTTAATTGATTTTATCTCATTTAGAAAACAGGCCTTATTTACTGTCAAGTAGTACATATAGGGCTTTTGCTTTTATTGATCCTTCTTTTTAGATGCCAGTACTATAGTTGCAAATGCGTAAAGTAAACATGTTTAGTCTATTTGGCACTTAAATTTAGACTTGACTTAGTTTTGCTTTAGGTGGAATGTTTTATTTAAGTTGGTTTTGATTTTCAATTGAATCAAAAATGAATTGCTTCTAATAGAAAATGAGACTTTATATATGCCTACCTGTTATGATTCAGCTGTTTACTGTTTTCTGTAGACAGCAAATACAAGCCTAGAATACAAATCTTCTGTAAATTGTACAAATCCAGTAAATAAGAGTTTGTGTCATTTCAGGGTTTTAGTCAAGGGACACTTTGTTTTTACTCATTTTTAGTTCTGGTTTTCAAAACAAGCAGTTTTTCTAATCATAGACATATCTATTAACATTCGTAAAGTAGAACATTTGTGTATCAATTATGGCTTTTCCTTTTGGTAACTGTCTGTTAACATGTTCATGATTGGGCCATGATATTAATGATGAAGACAAATCTCATTGCTGGGCAACTTGGATTTGAATTCGTTCATTTATTGCTGGCTTGAACTACCAGTCTTACATTCATGACAGTCCCACTGAGTGACTTATATTGCTTCTCAGGGGGTCTGGGATTCCAGTAACGTAAAGAAAGGTGTTGATTTAGTAGATCAGATAGCATATTACAGTTCCTTAAGGAAAACATTACAGTGTCTAAAAAATTAAAATATAGCTAATTTGGGGTATAGCAATTATAAATGTGTACTATATACACCAGCAATGGAGTACTTGTAAGATACGCATATTAAAATTTTTAAATAACTGATTCATGAATATACATTTTTAAAATTTACTGCAGTGAATTTGTTGACTATTGTAAGTTTTAAATTGATGTGAATAGGGTTATATATAAGTAGTAATATACTCAGATTCAAGCAATTAACTGGATTGATTCAGTCCATTTATTTTACTTATTTTTATTAGTAAAAGGATCAATAAAAGTGATCATATCTGTTTGTACCACTGGTAGTATAAATTGTCCAGTGGGACAGTCATGATCACTGGTGGTTCAAGTCGATGGCAGTGTGAATTCCTTCTACAGTATTTACTTACAGCCAAGGAGTTGTGCAGAATGCTAATTAAATTTGGTTAAGATGTCCCCAAAATGTCTTCGTTGTTTCTGTTGTGTGTTCTTGTCTGCATTTTTAATATTATAGGCTATCAAGATGGAAATGATGCAGAAGCTTCAGGTCCATCTAGAAGAGGAGGTGGAAGAGGTAGTTTCCGAGGTTGCCGTGGAGGATTTGGCATAGGAAGATCAAGTTAGTAGTACATTGCAAATGGTGTAGTTGACTTGTTCAGAAGAAAATGATTTTTAAAAAACCTGTCACATAAAGTTGTGAAGATACACATGAAGTTGCTACAAATGAATCATTCACATTGTATAAAATGTTTTTAGGCATACAAATTATATATCTGTTAAGTTGGAATATATGAGCATTTTTCAGAGGTTTGTGTGACTCAGTTTTCAGTATTGTATGTTGTTAAGTGTCACAGAGCCTTGGTAATACGGCTGATTTTATAAATAAGTTTTAGATTACTAAAACCATTGTACCCAACATCTTTTAGTTTCTGATACTGTTACTTGATTTATTTTATTTACTGGATAATGAAAAGCTTCTTAAAGTTCACATAATCTAATTTTCTCCAAATAAAGATAATGAATATGACCAAGCTGAGGGAGCACAGCGCCCTGCTGGCCTTTTTGGGTCTAGAAGAACAGCAGTGAGTGGTACAGGTGAGAAATAAGACTAAATAATGAATATTATTCATGTATGTGTTTAGCACTAGGATTAGTAATTAATATACATGTATTAAAGCTAATTACTTAGTTGCTTTTTAGATCTGTATGCAAAAATACATGGACAGTTTTGTGTTCCCTATAAAAGTTGTGCATTGAAAATTACTTCTTCCATGTTTTCTACCAATTTATTTGAGGTGTGAATTACTCTTTTAAGTGAAAGAAGGAAAATGAAGCCTGTGCTGGTTCAAAGGAAAGTTTCTGAGTTAGGAGAAAATGAATTTGAAAAGAAAAACAACACAGGTATTCATGAAAAATGTTCAGGGAAGATTTAAATTAGAAAAAACAGTGAAGAAACTAAGGATGCTAAATAATTATATTGATAAAAATAGCTATATAGTTTATGTGCTTGAAGCATATTAGTGTTTTTTCTAAATATTTTGCAAACAATGTCACAGGTAACGGTGATCCTTACCACAGCAGAAGTGGCAGTGGACGTGGACGAGGCAAGTTCTTAATTGGTTTACCTGTCAGAGGCTAAAGTCATTGTAAACAGCTTAATTTTGAAGTTAGATAGCTGTTACTCCTTTTATAATCTCTGGGTAGTGTAAATTTAAATAGTTGGAAAGATCATCAGAAATCTCCCAAGTTATTTCCTTTTCAATTCAGCACTTTTATCAGGAAGTACATACCATAAATGTTTTGGTAAATACAAGCACAAGAGTGTTGAGTCTTCATTTAAATAAAAACTGAAAGCACCCAAAATGCACTAGCAAACAACCATTTAATACAACTATAAAATGAGATGCTGTGCAGATGTTAAATGTTGAGATATATTTGTATATACAAATTATTGTGGAATATGCTTTTCTTATAGGGTTAGGACAATTATTTGATTTGGTCTACCAGTAAAGTTTAACATATGTGATTCTTTAAATATTTAAATATTGTATGAGTTAAAATGCTTTCTAGTAAAGCTTGTTAGATGTCTTCAGAGATTCTTAGTAATTATTGTTATTCTGAGGGCAGTAACAACACCTCTTTTTCCAGGTTTTTGTGTGCTTTAATACAGAAAAAAATTTTTAAAGAATACCTAAACCTTAGGGCTGGAGGTATAGTACAGTAATACAGCACTCATCTATCTTTTTCAAGGCCCTTAATTTGATCCCCAGTATCACAATAAAATAAAGTTGTAAGCTAGTTAAGTCAGCTTCCCAAAATACTAACAGTTTAAAAGATTTCAAGACCTGTGGACATAATTGACATGGAAATTATTGAGAGCTCACATGTAAAAAAGTTGTGCCTGATTACCTTTTATATCTAGTATAGTAATAGTACCTAAGTGTCAGAATGATCTTTTGTTACCTAAAAATCTAGCTGTAGGATTATTAGCCTCTTGATTGCTTATATTATAGGTATTTGCCACTGTGTCTGGTTAAGAATCTAGAATTTTAATTTTCAAGACAAGGAGAAGAAGGGTGGCCAGCTCCAGGAAAAAGAGAGAATTTATTTTTTCTCTGCCTTTTTGTTCTGTCTGGGCCTTAAAGCAGATTGAATGTTCTTGCTCACTTTTGGTGAGCGGAGAATCTTCCTAATTGTTTACTGGCTGAAATGTTAATATTTTCTGGAAATATTCCCAAGGATGTAACTAGAAATAATGTTGATGGTTATCTGTGTCCTTTAAAATCAAATTGACACTTAAAATTAACCATCACAACTAGTATCTGAGGACTTAGATTTAGGATGGGTTCCCACTGTTATAATTGAGAAATTAATTGTGCCTAAATTGTACAAACACTGTGGTGTATACTGAACACTTCGTTTCCTCTTGGGAGTCTAGAAGTTTGTTATGGTATGTGCCAGACAGCAGATGCCTATGTTATTAGTCCATAATGAAAACTCTGGGTACTAACTCTCTGATGTAGATAACATTTGACTTATATTACCACAACTCTTTTAACTCCAAGGGGACAAGACTTGGGAGATTGCACCTACTTTTTTTCTATGGTTTTTCCCCTTGTTCTTGTTTTTTTTGGTGGTTTTGCTCCCTGATCGTCCACTGCATTGTATCGTAGCCACGGATATGACTATATCATGAGTCTTGTGAGTCTTCCTAATAAATCATTGACCTAAAACCAATGGGATTCCCAGCCCAGACTGTTATTTTAGAAAATAAATCCCTTTACTAGACAAAAAGATATAACAGTCTAAGAAAAATATAGTCTTATGGAAAAGTCTCATTTGCCATAAATCAGCATTTTTGTACTAAGAAAACTTAAAATATATAACTTTTCTCCTCCTTCCCTCCCTCCCTCTCTCCGCCTTTTTCTTTTTCTTTCTTTCTTTCTTCCTCTTTTATTTTCTCCTTTCATTTTCTTTTTCTTCCTTCCTTCCTTCCTTCCTTCCTTCCTTCCTTCCTTTCCTTCTCTCTCTCTCTCTCTCTCTCTTTCATTCATTCTTTCTGTTTGTAGTACTAGGAATCGAACCCAGGGCCTTGCACTTACTAAACAAATGCTTTACCACAGAGCTGTGTACCCCAAGTCCCTAAGATTCTGTTTATCTTGTTTTAACTTATCTCAAGTATTACTTGCTTAAAGATGCCTATCCATTTTGATAGTTTTCCTTTTTGAAGACTGCCATTGAAAATAATGAAACATATAACTCTGTGTCTTGACTGTCACTATGAATTTCTTCAATAGGTGGTTACAAAGGTTTAAATGAAGAAGTAATAACAGGCTCTGGAAAGAGTAAGTTTTACTTTAGATAAAGCATTTGAGTTTTAGAAAAAATTGAAGTTTCTTTTACCTCTCAATTAAAAAAATTTCTGTTTGATCTCCTTTAAGATTCTTTGAAGTCAGAAGCTGAAGGAGAAAGTGGTGATATTCAAGGTACATTGACCTTGCGATCTAGATGAATGTATATTGAGTTCATTAAAAATGCAAAATATTTAAAGGCAGAGTTAATTATGTTTTTAGATTTTAAAAGTTTGAGCAGTTAAGCAATGTAGTGTTCTATAATTAAAACTTGATTTTGTCAATATCTCTTTTAGTTTTTCTCCTACTATGTGTAAGCATAAATTGTTTTTAGTTTTTTTTAATTTAAATTCCAAGGGCCAAAAGTGACCTACATACCACCACCTCCACCAGAGGATGAAGACTCCATCTTTGCACATTATCAGACAGGCATAAACTTTGACAAGTATGACACTATTCTTGTGGAAGTATCTGGACATGATGCACCACCAGCAATTCTGGTCAGAACATTATTTCTGTATTGATATGTAACAAACTTTAATTTAAAAATACTTGGTATGGGGGCTGGGGGTTTAGCTCAGCGGCATAAGCGCCTGCCTTGCAAGCAGGCAGTCCTGAGTTCGATCCACGGTACCGATAAAAAGGAAAAAGACAAAAAAAAAAAAAAAAAAAAAAAAAAAAAAAAAAAATACTTGGTATGTTTACTTAAGTTGATATCAACACAAAAGTTCATTTTTAGTATTTGAAAGGAAATTTTAGTCTTTGGAAATATGTACGTGCTAAACTTTATTCCAATTCCAAATACTAAAATGGGAATTTAATTTAGATTTGCTAAAAAAGCACATTTTTCCCAGAGATTCAATGTGTTTACATCCTAAATATGTGAGAAAAATGAGTCTTGGTGTATTTTCTAAGGAGAGTTAGGGGAGTTTTGTCTCGTCTTAATAATTATCATAAGCCTTTGTTCCTGACTAGAGTTTTTAATATCTCATAGGATTTGAGGAGATAAAAGTGTTTTTAGAACCACTGTCTATTGTAAATACTTCTATCAAGTCATAATAAACAAGACTTTGGATATTTATTTTTGACTGGGGTATATTGCTAATTTTAGTGTAATTAACAAAATTTGGAACTAGTTCAGATGAAATATGTTTATAAAGTGATGTACATACAATATATGGAATTTAATCATTTTCCTATTTTTAGAGTTTTGAGGAAGCTAATCTCTGTCAGACACTTAATAGCAACATTGCTAAAGCTGGCTATACTAAACTTACTCCTGTGCAAAAATACAGTATTCCTATTATACTAGCAGGACGAGATTTGATGGCTTGTGCTCAAACAGGATCAGGGAAGACTGTAAGTAATTTTTAAAAATGTATTCTGCCACATATTTTAACACTTTTTATTTTAAAGCAGTTAAAACAGTAAAAACAAAACAATAAAAATGACATAGGATTTCAAAACAAGATAAGGAAATTAACAATGGTTACTATATTACATATAGTTATCTTCGAATTATTGCTCAGATTGTAAAATGTAGGCATATAAAACAGATCAAACAATATATAATCACATTTTATTTCCATGAACTAATAGGAATAGTAGTATCTTTATCTCAGCTATCGCGTGTGTGTGTGCGTGTGTGTGTGTGTGTGTGTGTGTGTGTGTGTAGATACGTATGTATGTATGTGTATATATGTGTGTTCCCTTCCTTCTTTCTCTTTTTACCCATTCCAGTCATTCTTTCCCTTTAAGCAGTTTCTTTCCCTTTCATAATGTCTGTTGTAGATTTAGCATATTATTTACTCTTTCAATTTATTACAATGGGGAGACAACATGGCTAATCTGATTTATTTCACTTGTATGTTTTGTAGTTGCATCAATTTACCTACAAAATATTTATCTTTATAGCTGAGTAGTACTCTATATAAAAAAAAAACCACATCTTTTTTATCCATTCCTCATTTGATAGGCATTTGGGTTGTTTCCAAGGTTTAGCTATTACAAATTGTGTGGCTGTAAACATAGGTACACATACATTGTTGTGGTGTGATATTTTTAATTCTTGTGGGAAGATACCCAGAAAGGGAATTGCTGAGTCAAATGGGACTTCTAATCCTAGTTTTTTTTGAGTAATCTCTACTCTGCCATATAATTAAACCGTTGTTTTTGTTTTTTCTTATATAGCTTGACTCTTTTGTTGGATAGAAGTCTTAACAGATAATTTCAGTTAACTGCCATAAATATTCAAGTCCATTCTATAGCTAAACTATAAGGCACTCCTAGTTTTTGGTTTTCTTGGGATTTGTGTGCTGTTAAGGATTTAAAAAAAAAACTATTTCTAGGATAGTATTGTGTTTCATGAATGATTAACTTGTTTCTGAGTTTATTCAACTCTTTCTGTTACACAGCAGTATGTAAAACAAAATAATTGAAAATCAAAACATCAGAGGTTAAAAATGTTGAGAAAGGGAAAAATCTTACATAATATAGCCAGTAAAACTTTAGAGCATAAAGATGAAGAATGAGAAATATCTATATGAATTGTACAAGATCCTGAGTCATAAAAATGCCTCAGGTTATGCTAATTCAAAGGGAAATATGATAATGTGACATTAGTTTTAAGATTAAATTTGGGGTTTGTTAAATAAGATGCTATGAGACTTGTTTCTAGGTAGTAGTCCCAGTTCATGCCATTTTAGTCTTAATCAGTCTCCATGTGATAATTGAAGGGAAAATAGATAAATTTTATAACATAACAGCTGATGAGTGACTTAAACGTTCTGAAGTTAGATTTAATAAGAGTCTTATTTGCCTAAGTGAGAAAAGCATAGCACAGAATTTCTCTTGCTTGGCCTAAAATCAGTAGGGTGATATGTTAATCCAAATAATTTCCAAATTTTGTTGTAGCTATAGATCATTTTTCTTTGTAATAATTTTTACTTCCTAAGGACTCATTTATAGTAATTCAAATTATAGCTAGATTTTCCTCTATAAAGTTAATGTTGTTGATCTACTTCGAATACATGGGCATGCCTGTTTTGTTAGAAAACTGAAAAATATTTTGATAGAGTAATTTTATCAAATATTTTAAAGACTTAAATGTTAACTTGTTGAAGTAAAAATTGTTTTAATTTCTCAACATAAATATACCAGCAAGACAGAAGAAAAATCTTAAAGGCTTTAAGGTCATGAAGAATAGCTTTCATAGGGACAAAAGTGATTACACTATGAATTAGTAAGTTAGACAATTTAACTTGTAGGCGGCTTTTCTCTTGCCAATTTTGGCTCACATGATGCGTGATGGAATAACTGCCAGTCGGTTTAAAGAGCTACAGGAACCAGAGTGTATTATTGTAGCACCAACTCGAGAATTGATCAATCAGATTTATTTGGAAGCCAGAAAATTTTCTTATGGGTAAGTAAGTACGTTTGGAATTCCATTTGAAACAGTTTTTCTTAGAGATTATTTTCTTATTTTGGGAAGAGCTCAGTAATAATGAACTCATGTAATTTTTAGCATTACTTGATTGAAGCAATTTTTGTTAATTTTGTTGACAGAATTTCTTTGTATTTTCAAAAGAAATGTGCTTATTAAAATATACAAAGTAGATAATTAGACAATAGTGAAATGTTGGTACATTTTTGATAGTTTTTAGTGCATGTTTAAAAGTTAAACGTGGAGTATCTGAATAAATTTTTATATACTATATAATATAGAAAACTACTTTTGTATAACTAATAACTAATGCATTATACTTTTGTGTAACTAATTTTTTAATGATTTAAAAATTGCGTGTATACATTATATTTTTTTGTAGTAATGGTGAATAAACTCAGGGTTTCACAAATTTTATTTATTTCAAGACATTTAGCTTCTGTTAAACTAAGGCCTGTTTTAAGTAGGACCATGATGAATATCTTGCATACATAAAGGTTTTTTTGTTTTGTTTTGTTTTTCAGTGAGACAAGGTCTTGTTCTGCTGCCCAGTTTGACCTTAAACTCTTGGGCTCAAGCAGTCATCTTTCCTCAGCGTCCCTAGTTAATAGGACTATTGGTGTGTGCTGTGGTGCAACCATGGCAGCTATTTTTCTGGTTTAAGAATCTCTCTGAAGTAGATTTTTAAAATAAGTTTTAATATTAAAAAGCATGATTTTTTTTTTGAGACAGGGTCTCCCTGTGCAGTTCAGGATGGTCTTGAGCTCACCCCAGGCTGGTCTCAAATTTGTAACAATCCTCCTGCCTCATCCTCCCTAGAGTGCTGGAATTACAAGTGTGTGCCACAGCTACTTTTTTTTTTTTTAATGGAGAACTGAATTTAGAACCTTGTGCTTGTCAGGCAGGCACGTATGCTGCTGAGCTATATCCCTGGCAAAAAAAACCATGAGCTTTTTTTTTTTTCCTGGTATCAGGGTTCGAACTCAGGACCACATGCTTGCAAGGCAGGCGCTTATGCCGCTGAGCTAAATCCGCAGCCCCAAACCATGAACTTTTAGAGCTTGCACTAATGTATATTTCTGCCAGCACTGTATGAGAAGTCCAGTTTACCCACCACCTTTGGCAGCAGTTGATAGTTTTTAGTTATCTTTTGCTGTCTATCAAATTATCTTAAAAGCTAGTAGCTTACAACAGTAAATATTTTCTGAATGAGTTTCTAGGACTTAAAGAGTTGGGAAATAGATGTAAATAAATTTAAGAAATTTAATCCTCACAGTAGTAAATAACAAGTCATTTAAAGCAATGAACTTATTTAGTAAAACATACTTTTCCTATGCTCTTTGACTATTCTCTTTGTTCTATGATTGTCCTCTTCTGTTACTGTTAACAGTAACTGACCTACCTCATCACTGAAATAGCCAGTACAGGAGTAATCCTCCAGGAAATGATCTTTTGGCATCCGAAAAACTTGGTTTTTCAAAATTTAGCAGTGTATGTGGGAGATAACGTTTAACTTAAGAGTTGTAGCCCTTTGCATGAATATACTGTATGCCTTGAAATGTGTATTACTGCAATTTAAATCTTTACTTATAGAAACCTAGCTTTCAGACGTCTTACATTGAAAATAACAGTGACAATGAATGGTACTGTATATTCATCTCTGACCATTTGTGGGGATATAACCCGAACAACTAATTTCTAGATGCGATTTAGTGGGGAAAAGGACGAATTTTTGTTTATGGGCTAAAATTTTTAGTTTGTATCAATTTACTCTTAGGTGCTAATTAACCCACACCCAGTTAACATGGTATTATCATACCATGGTCTGCAGTGTTTTCATTTGTCATCCTTTTTAAAGTAATACTGAACTTTAAAAATATTTCAAAGGTTTTGTATTTTTATTGTTCATTTCTTTGTGTTGTGTTTTTTTTTTTAATTTGTGTAGGGAACATAGTATTGTTTCTCGTTGTTATTGAAGAACACTTTATCGGATAGGTGGCAAAGTATTTTTCCTTTTGTTATTTAGTTTTTAGCATTAACCTTTCAGCTTATTCCTAGGCAAAATTTTGTTTCTTAGGTAGTTGACTGTGCTCTTGTGTGGATTTCTGCTCTGTTATAAAAAAATGTCTAATTTTCAAATAACTAGAAAGCAACATTTTTCTTATCAATAGGACCTGTGTAAGAGCTGTTGTCATATATGGAGGAACACAGTTGGGGCATTCAATCCGACAAATAGTACAAGGCTGTAACATATTATGTGCTACTCCTGGGAGATTGATGGATATCATAGGAAAAGAAAAGGTAGGTCTTAGAGGGATAACAAAGTTATGAGACTGATAATTTTTTATAGGGGAGTAATGTAAAGTATGTTGACTTGAGTACCATTTATATTTTAGGGTCCATCAGATTATTTCAATTAGTTTTCATGTAATTCTTAAGGTAATCATATAGAACATAGTATTATCCATTTTATACAAACTCTGAAACTGTTTCTTCTATTTAAAATCCCTTACTTAGTTCTACTACATGATGGAGTTAAAATTGACATTTTTTGAAAGAAATAGGAAAACTTAAGAATTGAGGGGGCTGTAAATAAAGGGAGAAAAGGGTGTGAGGTGGGTAGAAGTTAAAGGGGTGGACATAATCAACATAGCATATATATATGGAAATGCTTTAGTGAAACCCACTAATTGTGCAAGTAATACATATCAATAAATGGTTGAATAAAAAGAAAAGGAACCTAGGTCTGATTCCAGAGTACATATCCTATACTCTTGTTACCCTAGTAAAAAATGAAATAAATATATTTATCTAGTTTCATATTTGTCTTGGTGAAATATTTTCTTGCAAGAAACCTTTTGTGAGTGACATCAATAATTTTGCATTCTTTTTAAGTATGTGAGTGGTATTAACCAATCTTGATAATTTGGTAATCTTCCAGAAGAGATTCTAGTGCTGTGCATTTACTTAAGAATTCACATACTACTGGATCTGGTGACATGTACCTGTAATCCTAGCACTCTTTTTTTTTATTTTTTTATTTTTATTTTTTATTATTTAAAGAACAAAAAGAAAGGGCATAAACAAAGCAGTAAAAGGGTACAAGTAATATAGAATTTCAAGAAAAAAAATACAGTCAGAAATCACCAGTTAATAGGTTACATATTGTCTTCCCAGAAACAGTTGTCCAAATTACAAAATTAAAGCATATAAAGTGGACATTCATACAGTGATATTGGAGACAGTTCCATTCAGTGATCCAACAAAAGCTCAGTAATATGGTTTTCCATCCTACACACTCGAACATACCTATGGTTATATCCCTTAGTCCACCTTCCTTTCCTCTCTTTTTTACAATAACAATTAGACTTTTTGGGTTTTATAACTCTCACATTCTTATTACTTTTTTTTGAAGAGAATAAAACCAAACACGACTAAGCAAAACAGAGTCAGAACAGAAGTGTGGGCATAGTACATGATGCAAAAATAGAATACCAGGTGATCAAAAGTGGTTACCATTGTGCCTCTTGCTATTTTTAAATTGAGTTGCCTATATCATCAGGTATAATAGAATTGATCAAAACAGTACAGAACAAGACCAATAAAACCTACACTGGCGACCTTACAGGACTTGGAAAAAAAGGATAATAGTCAAACCGTAATGGGCATCATAGTATATCTTATTGCCTTCAAAGTGGTTGCCTATGCCCTCAAACTTGATATTATCAAACAAAATAGAATATAGAATAATCAGAACAAGATGGGGAGAGCAATACTGGGATTCAGATCAGGTTAATAGGAAAACAAAAAAGTTACTATAATATGTCCTGTTATTTTTAAATTTAGTTTTCCCTTAATTTAAAAAATGAGAGAAAATAGATTAATTTTTAAAAAAGGGGGGGGGAGATTGAGCTAAAAGAGGACATTGTAACAGAACAATGCAGGTCAGAACCGAACAATTTAAGTATCATTGTTTCGCCACCAGATAATCTAACATAATAGTAGTTGCCATAGTGCCTCTTTCCTTGAATTATTTGAGTGTAACTTTGTATGCTATAGCATCAAGCATATCAAGACAATGTGAAGCCATTCAAGAGAATGCAAAAATTACAGGGTATTTAGAACCAGCTAATAGAAAACAAACAACGGTTTCTATATTATCTCTTTGCCTATAAAGAATTTTGTTTATACTATCACGTATAGTGAAATATAGTAAGCTACAACATGTTGAATCCTAGCACTCTTGAAAAAGGAGGATTACAAGTTTGAGCCCAACCTGGGCAATTTATAGACTTCTTGAGACCCAGTCTAAAAAGAAGGACTGAGGATGTAGTTAAGTATGAAGGCCTTGGGTTCAAAACCCAGAATCATAACTAATAAATAATTCACATACCAAATTATCAGTACTTTTAATTCACTTTAATAAACACTATCTGGTTTTCAAGTGCTCTTTTAAAAAGGGAGTTACTTAAAACTTGCTTTCTAGCTGGGCGTGATGGCTCGTGCCTGTAATCCCAGCACTCGGGAAGCTGAGATGGGAGGATCTTTGTGAGTTCAAGACCAGCCTGGGCTACAAAGTGAGCTCAAGGCCAGCCTGAACTGCATAGCGAGACGCCGTCTCAAAAAAACGAAACAAAACAAAAAAAACATGCTCTCTCTGTATAAAGGCACTTTTCTGATAATATCAAAAGTATCTACAAGCTGGGCATGGTAGCATATGCCTGTAAGCTCAGCAGGATGGGAGGCAGAGGTGGGAGGATTGCAAATTCAAGCCTATTCTGGGCAATTTAGTGACTTAGCAAGATCCTGTCTCAAAATTTAAAACATAATGAAAAGGCTAGGGATATAGCTTTGTGCAAAGACCCTGAGCTCAGTCCTTAGGATTGTGGGGAAAAACAAAGTATTTGGAGAAATCCATCTCTTACATTCTTGCTAACCATCTTCAAGGTAGTACCAAAGTCACTTGTCTTTTTGCAGACATGTTCTTTAAAGGATGTTCATTCAAAGGTGAAAGAATCTCCTAGCTGTTCCTGAGTAATTAGAGAATGGAGATTTTATTAAGGATTTGTAGGGACTAGAAAAAAGTTAACCAAATTTTAAAAATTTGAATATGTAATGTTGAGTTTTATTTCATAAAGTCTGATAATATAGTTTATGTTTGTGCTGTTGAATACAAGTAACAATTAGTCATATGGGTGTTTAAATTTTATAATTATAAAACTAGAAATTAATTCCACAGCCACAATACCTATATTTCAAGTATTTAATAGCTGCATATGTCTAGTGGTTAGCATGTTAATGAGGCTGATAGAGCCCTGAAATAATTGCTGCAGGTTACATTTTATAATATTAATCTATATTTTTTTTCTTCAGGCTTTTTTGAGACAGGATTTCACTGTATAATTCAGGCTGGCCTTGAACTTGTGGCAGTCCTCTTGCCTTATCCAGAGTGCTGGGATTACAGGCGTGTGCAACTATGCCCCGCTTTTTTTTTTAGTCTTAATTTAGAAAATGTTTTCTATATTAGAAAAAATTGAGAATACATATAAACACTAATGGCATTATTTATTATCTATGATGATCAGACAATTTTTTATCATTTTATGCATTGGTTTCTAGTCTTTGTTTCTAAATATTTTAGCAATTGAAATTGTGGAGAGTTTTATCATTTAATATAAAGTGATGTGCATATTCTGTTCTGTTCTTTGAAAATATTATAGATTGGACTCAAGCAAGTGAGATATTTAGTTTTGGATGAAGCAGATAGGATGTTGGATATGGGTTTTGGGCCAGAAATGAAGAAGTTAATTTCTTGCCCAGGAATGCCAACAAAGGAACAACGTCAAACTCTTTTGTTCAGTGCAACTTTTCCAGAGGAAATTCAAAGGTAAATTTTTTTCTTCTTAAAAATAATTTAATTATGTACATAAATATTCTGTGGCAATAAAATCAATGTAAATAGTCTTGTTTTTTAGAGGTTTGACAGTTTTTAAAGATTTTTTTCACAGGTAATTTAAAAAGTAGGTTTATTCCTAAAAAGCTTACCACATTTTTTGTTGTTTCTTATCCTTGTTTCTGGCTTTTCAGTAGTATCACACTCTGTTTCATGTGTGTCTTGTAGCATAGCACCTATCTGGGCTTTAAAAGTGCTTACTAAATGAAGTTATTTTTATTATGCCCTAATTTCAGACCTAAATACATAGAATTTGGGAGGGGTACCAGTTATTAATAAATATTTGAGGATTATGCTGTATATTACATGAATTCAGAAGTAAGCATGGCTTACCCCTGATAGGATGGCAACTCTTCTTCTTAGCCTAGCCCTCTTGTCCCCTTCTTGGCACAGGAGATCCTGAAGTATCTAAGTAACAGTATTGGGTTATAATTTGGTAAGATTCTTGCTGTTTTTTTTTTTATTAAAACTATTCCGTTAGGGAGCCAAGAACTACATTTCTGCAAAATGTGGATTTGTGAGAGAAAGAAGAGTGGGAAGCATAGATTCCCAAGTGGGTCATAGGTGATTGATTGTAGATACACCATTTTTTCATCCCTTTTGATTCAAAGATTTACTGGTGTATTGGACAGTACCCTTTTCCTCATAAAACGTTGCCTCTGAACTGGCCCATGAGCTATTCTTTCCGTAGACTATTCCACTGTTTTTTCAGCTTGGCACCTTTTAGGTGGTATTTAGTGTATGACATGACCTGTGGATTCTAGAGTTACAGGTTTATTTATTGGCTGTATTATTGGTCCCTTGGCTGGTAGAATGTCATGTGGATCATATGCTAGTATATCATACACACTGAAAATCCTGGAATAATGGTTCTGACTGTTACTTTGCTTTATTTCCTATTATGATAAAAAATCTGTGAAATAAAAAGTTATTTTTTGGAGGAAATCTAAATCAAAGCATTGGGTCAGCCTGGCATTTTTTCTTAATGGTATATAAAATAATTTCTTAATGAATTGTATCTTAAATTTGAAATGGTGTATGTACATTATGTTTGGTACCATCTGGTACCATTACCTTTGGTACCATTATCTTTGGTACTATTCAGTAGATAATTTATTTACTTAATTAGCAGGTAATATTCCTGTCTGTCTCTTTGGATTTACCTAAAATAGGAAAGAATTTGGATATTGGCCTCCCAAAATGACCAATGTGTATAGTCAGTATTATAGCCAGTCAGTATTATTTGTTGGGGATCTTTTTTATGAGCAATATTTATTAGCCTTGGAGATATGTGATACAATATTTTAGAATTATTTACATTCTCAGTGGCTGACATACTACTTCTTAAATGTTACCAGTTACTCACTGTTTTGCCCAGTCTTTTTCTTATTCTGCATATTCCGTGTGCCATTGTAGCATCTATTTCCTTGGCCTGCTCCTCTGTACTGCGTTCTCAAGGTTATTCTCTGTACTCCTGCAAGTTACATATTTAATGCTTTGAGAAAGATTTTCCTCTCAGATGAATACCAGTAACTCATGTTGATGTCCAAAATTGAAATTGCTTTTTTCTTTTACTTTATATTTCCAGTCATCCTTTTTTTGAATTGATGGTTCATGCTCTTTTGAAGTCAGAATTCTTGAGTCATGGTAATTCCTTGCATTTTAACTGTCTATTCTTAAGAAATACTCAGGTTGGTAGTTATCTTTCAAATCCACCAGTTTCTTATTTCTCGCCTTAAGTCCTTTTCATGTGTATCTTCTTGCTTACTACTTCATTAGCTCAAGTTTCAAACTTGAAGACCCTTCTATTTAGACTTCATTTTATCCAATTCCTGGTAAGGTGTTGGTGTATTAGTCACTTTTCAATTACTGGGGCACAGTGCTGGGCACCTTAAATTTAAAGGAGGGGAGGTTTAATTTGTCTTAGTTCGTGGAATTCAGTCCATCTGGCTCCAAAGCAAATATGACATAGTGGAAGGGCATAGGAGAGGAAAGCTGCTCAATCTATGGCAATTAGAAAGCAGAGAAAGAAGGGCAAAGTATACCCCCAGTGACACCTCCTCCTTCCACGACCATCTCTTAACATCTCCTTTAACTGAGGAGTATACATTCCCCCCACATGATCCAATCCCCTTCCAGAACACATGAAATTTGTGGGGTACATCCCGTAGCTAAACCATATTTATAAAGCAGTGCACATTTCTCAGTAAATGTTCTTAGTTCTCAGTAAATGTTTCTTAGTAAATGTTCAGTACTTTAACATTTAACGATTGATTTTTTTTTTATATATATCTAAACTACTTAATGCAAGCTCTTGGGGAGGAGACATCATATTCATCTTTGTGTTTTCAGTACCATGTGTGCTTGATATACTATTCAGTAAATGTTTTAAAGTTATATGACAAAGCTACATCTCCCAGTGCTACTTCTCTCTCATTCCCATTATTATTAAAATTTATACTTTCTTTTCTTTACAAATGTTCATTGGTTATCATTTTGGTAGGGTTTTTTTTTTTTTTTTTTTGAATGTTTTGAGTCAGAGTCTTGCCATGTAGTTCAGTCTGGTCTTGAATTCACTATGTAGCCTGGGCTGACTTTGAACTTGCAGTGATGCTCCATGGTAGGTTTTTGGAAGACAGAGAATACAAAGAAGAAATCAGCCCCACCATGTTTAATTGGAACCCTGATCATGTTTTTCTACTTCCATTCTTCTGAATGAAAAAGTGTTCATGAAGGGCATTTATCTTTATTTCAGTTAAAAGTTTTACTGTTACATTTGTCTTACGTTAAAGTTACTGTTAAAGTTTTTGAAGCTCTATTCTGGCACTCAATAAGTTGGTTCCCTTTCCCAGACACTGAAGAAGTGTCTACTCTGACTGGTTGTACCTTCACTCAGTGAACTGGACAAGGCTGAAGACAGAATCAAGTGACACCAGAGAACTGCTTTACTTTTGTTACCCAGCATCGCTTTTGCCATTCTGGTCATTTCTGGCTCTCTACGAATTTTAGGATTGTTTTCTCCAGTTCTATGAAAAATGCTGTTGATATTTTCATTGAGATTGCATCAAACCTGTGTATCAATTTTAGAAGTATAGCCATTTTGACTATATCAGTTCTTTTACCTATACTGGAGCATGAGATAGCTTTCCATTTCTAATGTCTTTTTTGATTTCCTTTTGAAGTGTTATAGTTTTCATTTAGAAATTTTTCATGTCTTTACATTAATTCCAGAGTATTTAAAATTTTTTAGTGCTATTTTGAATGTTTTCCCCCTAATTCTTTCTCAGCAGGTTCATTAGTATGCAGGGATGCTATTGATTTTCATGTGTTGATTTTATATCCTGCTGCATTACTGAATTTGGTTATTCTGTATTTCAGTGGACTTTTTGGGGTGTTCTTTGTAGCAGGTCATATAATCTTCAAGTCATAATTTGACTTCCTTTCTTGTACATATCTATTCCTTTTTCATGCCTAATTGTTCTTTCTAATATTTCAATGACTACTTTGAAGTAGAGTGGTGATAGTAGACATCTTTATCTTGTTCCTGATTTTAGAGGGAAAGCATTGTTTTAATATGTTGGCAGTAGATTTGGCATATATGGTTTTTATCAGACTGAGATACAATCTTTCTATGCTTGATTTTTCAGGTTTTTAATCATGATTGGCTGTTGGATTTTGTCAAAGGTGTTTTCTGCATCTGTTGAGATGATCATTTTTTTCTTTGCTTCTATTTATGTGACATATTACATTTATTAATTTGCATATGTTGAACCATCCTTGCATTCCTAGGATGAAACCTCTTTGGTTGTGGTGTTAATCTTTTGATGATTTGTTGGATTGTTTGCCAGTGTCTTGTTGAGAATTTTTGCATGTGTTCATTGGAGAGATTGGCCTGTAGTTTACTGTTTTGGTTGGATCCTTTTAATGACAGCTTCCAAGAATGACTCTGGGAGTACTCCTTTCCTTTTAATTTCATTAAAATGTCTTGAGTATTGGTGTTAGAACTTCCCTGACATTTTTGTAGAATCTAAACTGGGTCTTTTCTTAGTTGGTAGATTTTTAATTCTTGCTTTTTTTATTGTCTGATATTGGGTTATCCAGAGTTTTTAAATTCTTGGTTCACTGTGGGAATTCATATGTATCTAGAAATATATTCATTTTTTTCAAAATCTTCAATTTCCTGGTGTACAGGTTTGCAAAGTTGTTAATAATCTTTTTATTTTGCCAGTGTATGTTGTAATTTCATCTGTCTCATTTTTAATTGTGTTGATTTCTGCCTGTACTTTTAAAAAAATCAGATTGTCTAAGGATTTGTCTATTTCTTTGAAAAACCAACTCTTTGGGGGCTGGGGATTTAGCTCAGTGACAAAGTACCTGCCTGGCAAGCACAATGTTCTGAGTTCAATTCCTAGTACCCAAGAAAGAAAAACCAATTCTTACTTACTTGGTTTTTAATTTTTTTGTCTGTTTCATTTATTTCTCCTCTGGTTTTTCATAATTTCCTTGTTGTACTAGCTTTGAGATTGATTGTTCTTGTCTTTCTAAGCATGGTATGCATGCTCAGGCTGTTTATTTGACTCATTCTGTTTTTGTGATATGGGCCTTTTCTTGCTATAAACTTCCCTCTTAGGACTATTTACATTTGGTCACCAAAGTTCTAGGATGTTGTACTGCCATTACTGTTTAATTGTAGAAATTGTCATTTCTGTCTTTTATTTCTTCTGTAACCCACCACTTACTTAAGAATGTATTGTTTAGTTTCCATACATTTGGATAATTCATTTTTTATTTATCATTTTTTCTAATTTTATTATGCTGTAAGTGGTAATATACATTATACAATTTTAATTGTTTTACATTTACGCTTGCTTTATTGGCTAACGTGATCTATTTGGGGGAAAGTTCCACTTGCTGCTCAAAAAGAATATGTATTCTGTTGTTCTATGGTACACTATGATCTATTTGTGATAGTGGGGATATTGATATCTCACTATTATTTTGTTGATGTTTATCTGTTCTTTCATATCCAGTATTTCTTGTTTTGTGTAGTTGAGTGTGCCCTCCTTGAGTGAATATATGTTAATAATTGTTACCTCTTCCTATTGGATTGTTCCCTTAAACAGTATGTAGTGACCTTCTTTGCCTCTATTGATCATTTTGGCTTGAAGTCCACCTTGTATTAATACAGGATAGCTATACCTGCTTTTGGGGGGGCTCTCATTGCATGTAATTTTTTTTCATCATTTGATTTTTAGTCTATATGAGTTTTCTTTTTGGGTTGAATGTGTTTCTTGTATACAGCATACCACTGGATTTTCTTTCTTGATGCTTTCTATCTGTTTTGATTGGAGAATTGAGACCATTCACATTGAGGGTTTTACTAATAGACGTTGACTTATTTCTGTCATTGTTTTATTTTCCTATTGCTGATTTTCTGTTTTTCCCTTCTACTTCACTGCCTTACCTGATGTATTCATACTATTAGATTTTTTGTCACTGTTAACTTCATTGTGTTTAGGATATCCTTGAGAAGTTTTTAGAGTGCTGGTTTTGTGCTCCTGAATTTCTTAGGTGCACTTTATTATGAAAATATCTTTTTCTCTTATCAATTTCAAAAGACAGTTTTTAGGATATATCAGTCTGGATTGGAAATTGTTTTCTTTTAGGACTTGAAACGCTTTTCTCCAAACAGCTGGCCTTTAAAGTTTTCATTGAGAAGTCTAAGGGGTTTTCCTTTATAAGCGATTCTTTAGTTTTCTCTAACTGCTTTTAAGATTTTGTTCTTGTATTGGATTTCTGGAATTTTGTCTTAGAGAAGTTCTTTTCTGGTTGTGAGTGTTTGGTGTTCTCACTTGTATGTATATTAAATTTTCCCTCACTTGGGAAGTTTTCTTGTATCATTTCAGTAAACAAAATTTTTATGCTATTCTCTGATTTTCACTATTCCAGTTAATCTTGATCTTCAGTAATACCTTGGATCATAAATGCTTCTGTCTGATAATAATTCAGTTCACAAACAAGACTTTGGCAAAATTTTGCTTTTGTTTGCGAACTTTGTTGCAGGTGATGAACATAACCACAGCCATCTTCTCCATGTATCACAAATGTATGAATCATGGAATGAATTAAACTTGTGAACCACTGTATCTTGTTTGCTTTAGCTAAGAGCTATTAGATCCATTTTTCATGTTCTCTTGTTTTTATGGCAGCTCTCATTTGGTCACTGACAATAGCCCTGTGTTCTAGTTCTACACACTGTCCTCACATCAGTCACTTCTGCTGCCCATATTTTGATAGAATTTTTAATCTTTTGAATTTCTACTTTTATGGAGCTTTTTATGGATTTTAATTCTTTTCTGTGCTGATCATGCATGTTTGTATCATTTTGTTGGACTCATCTAACTTTTTGTGTCTTCTGTAGATTCCCTACTCAGTTTTTGTCTAATATCTTATTATCTACATCTTCTGTGAGCTTGCCAAATGCCTTATTTGATCTGTTTTGTTCTATCCTCTGATATCATTTGCAATAATTTTTGACTTTTGGTTTTCTCCCCTTTCATGCCTATAGATCAGCTTTGGGAGACTTCGGAGTTTTTGGAGGATTTTGTTGACCTTTCTTTTCATGTTTCTGGTTTTTATTTGTTTTGAGGCTTTTGGATTGATCTAATGGGAAGCTTTGTTTCCTGTATGGAGTCCTCTTTAGTTAATGTCTCCTTTTTGGTCTTTTGGGTATGGCTAAGTATTGGCCTTTGCCTCTGTTCCAGGATCCTGCCACTGCAGTTTACTTGGGAACTGAGTTTGCAGTATATTTGGTCCAGCACTCATTTTTCCAGACGTGGTTCACAGGACTATTAATGACCCCAATGCAGTCCTAATACTGGTATCGTAAGAAAACCAATTAATGATAATAGCTAGGATACTTTGAATATAACATCATCATAATTATAGTATCAAATACAAACATTATTAACAGACTCTAAGGACCAATAATATACCACCCTTAACCATGGCAAAGAGATCTATAATTATAGGGTGAACACAAAGACAAACCAAATACCAACCTGTTGATTTACAGTACATGCCTACTAAGTAAAACAGCTTTACCTCTACTAACAGTAGAACAGAGTTCAAAAGCAATAGTATAAATGTTATCCAGCAATCTAGAGATTGATAAAATTCAGTAGTTACACTAGTAAAGGTAGAGTACACGGGGAACTGGAGAATTAAAAAAACAAAATTTAAAAATTAATCAATGGACTATGAGAAGTGCGTGAGAGAAATATGTGTGAGGGGGTCCTATTGAGTAGTAAAAAGGTAATCAATACTGTTAGAGAAAGGTTGCAGGAAGAAAGAAGGATCAAGAAAAAGAGATAAATAGCAGGAAATAAGGGAAAGATAAGAGAAAAAGTTGAAGGAGAAAAAGAAAAAGAGGAAAACAAAAAGGAAGGAAAAACCCCAGTACCCAAAAAATACAATAAGAAAAAGATAAAAACAACAAAAATAGCAAATCAAGAAAGCTGCAGACAAAAATTTTCATGCATTTTTGAGTGAGTGGTTTCTTTGCATCCTGCCATCTTACCCATCCAATCCTGTTTTTCTATGCCTGACTTGAGGGCCTATAGGTTTTTGTTCTTCCCTCCTTGCACCAGAGGTGCTTCTCTGTTCTCCCCAACATTGTGGTTACTATGCAAGCCAAGGCATGTCCTTGGTCCTCTTAGTAGATGGGAATGCGATCAGGTCTCTGGACTCTGCTGGACGCAGGACAGGTCTAGTGTGCTATTGGACTTAATGTCTGTAGTTATTGGTTCTGGTTGTTCCCTTCTCTTTCTGGGCATTGTCCTTGTCTATAATCAGGTTGGTTGAATAGTCCTTATCTATACTGACCCCTACCATGGAGAAGCAAAAAACTGGTAGAACCAGTTTAGAGTTGGTAATTGATAGTGTCCTTTTTATTAAGGGTGTGGTGAGCCTGCCTGTGGTACTTGGAGGGGTGCTGCTCATAAGGTTTGGGCCTGCATGATTGTGTAGTGTGTGGTTTCTGCTGGGTGTGGTTTCTGCTCCTTCAGTGAAGGCCTGCTTGCTCTGCTAAGAAGGGGCGTCTCTAAGCTGGTTTGTGCCTGCTACATTTTTTTAATCATTGAAAAATTCCTGGTTGATGTACTTGATATTTAGTTTATACTTTTTGTAAATTTATATAGTTATTCATAGACAGTAAATCCACTAGGAATTATTGTATCTATAATTTGACTTTTGTTTACTAGTAATTATATATTTTGCAAAATATCAACAGTATCTTTTTCCTTGAAAATAAGGGTCAGAGATATGGCTCAGTGGCATAAGTGCCTGCCTGGTAAGTGCAAGGGTCCTGAGTTTGATTCCTGTTAACCTCCCCAACCCAAAAGAGGGAAGATAATTGTAATTGCTGTATTTTATCATCACTCATTATCTTCTGCCTAATTAATATGCAAGTAACATGTGTAGAACTTAAGTGAATATCATGAGCATGAATGAAGAAGTGTAAGCTAAGGAATTGTCTTTTTGTCTCTCAAGGTTGGCTGGGGAATTTTTAAAGTCAAATTATTTGTTCGTTGCTGTTGGACAAGTAGGTGGAGCATGTAGAGATGTTCAGCAGACCATTCTCCAAGTTGGCCAGTATTCAAAAAGAGAAAAACTTGTTGAAATCTTACAAAATACAGGTATCTTATGTTCATATAATTATCTTACATCATAATTTAAAATTTTTTTAAATGCCTACTTTTTTTAAATGTCTAATTTTTAAAAATGAATTTTTTGGTATAGCTTTTAATAAGTTTTTTTTGTTTCCTCTTTTCTAAAGCTCTTAGAAAAGATATTGATTCAATGATCTGTGTAAATTGTATATATAATCTGTCATACAGATTGAATATGGGAAAGAGTTGTGATTTAGTTTGATACTTTCACTAAAAAATGTTGTAGCAGTATACATAATTTTTATTTTAAAAAGGTAGAAAGGCTTAATATTAGTATATCTTTATAATTCACTGTCTCAACAGCAAATTCTTATCTTTCTGGTTCAAAGAATTTCAGAGCTGGGAGAAACTTGAGGTCTAGTTCTGTCCTTTGCAAAATCTTTGAGAACTGTTTTTATTTATCTCCTAAATTATTTTCATTTTTAAAAAAAGTAATATTTTGTTGGATATAACTTGAGATTGGAAATATAGTCTTACATGGTCACTTTTGTTACCTTTTTGTTACCTCACAGACTAGGTGTATTTGTGTGCTGTAGTTTATCTCATCTACAGTAACCCATTTTAGTAATTCTGTTTCTTTTTTAATGTCAGTGTTCAGACAAGAGACCAAAAAGGCAGGAAATTGGTTCTAATAATGAACAACAACAACAAAATGTGGAAGGAAAGGTGATTTAGAAAGTACTAAAAGGCTTTCTAGTCTTCAGTTTTTATTTTATAAAAAAACTTTATGATATAAACTAAATATTCATTGTGAGTTTGAGGTGAATAACTTCATCAGTGTTTGTTACGTATAGTAATAGCATATGAAAATAACTGAGAGCTATATGCCATTCAAATTGGTTTACATTTGTTCACTTATTTCTCAGAATACCTTGTAAGGTAGGTTTTGTCATTATTGTAGGGCTGAACAAACTGAAAATGAAAAAGGTTAAGGGTATTAGCTAAAGTTCAAGTACAGAAGAGATCAGTACTATACATGGTTTTGTTGAAGTTAGAAAATATTTTTAGTATAGTTAGCTTAAGATTTTCAATACATAATCTGTGGAATCAAGTGTACTTTGGGAATAATTCAAGGAGTAGTTTTCAGAAGTGCTAAGAAAAAAATCACTATATATGGCCACCGTTGATATATTTCTGAATTATTTAAATGTAAATTTTATGTAGTTTAGTATTCATTGTTCTTGTGTATACCATCAGATTTTATATTGTTTGTTTACAGCTAATCTCCTTTTCAGATCTTTCACTTAATTTTGCTAAGTTTGTACCTGTTGCCTTTTTTAAAAAGTGCATTGGTTTCATTATTCCAGAAGTATATCCATCTACCTTAAAATTTTAATTTTTAAATCATTGGAAATGAAGATTTTATGACCTCTTTAATTATCAAAGGAATGAGTAAGATGTTAAAAGTTCAGAAGAAAATTTTTCTTTTTTTTAATCTGTTTTTTGATACAAATTCTCACTCTGTAGTTGTTTAGACTCACCTTGAACTCACTGGAGCCCATGTTGGCCTCAGACTTGTGCGATCCTCCTATTCAGTAAAGAACATATGTTCTTTACTCCCTGTACTCCCTTTTGAGTACAGGGAGTAAAGAACATATGTATATATAAATTATTAGGGATCCTAAAATTATTTTACAAAGACATTTAAAAGTGTTCAATATCTACAAAACAATTAATTATTGAAGGAAAAATCCATTTGCATTTTTATTGACAATTTGCATTTCTATCAGTTGCAGTGAGTTATAGATTAAACAAAACTATAAAAGGCATAGGAAAATCCCCCAAAGGGTGTGCTAGGCAGTAATCTTTTTTACTCATTTCAAAGTCTTCCACATTTTTTCCTGACAGCCTATGCGCACCTCGTGATCATCATAATCTCAGAGGCTTATCTTTGGTCACAAAGAAATTTGGTCTTACAGTATTTATCTTACGTAGTCTCACCGTGACAAGACTGTTCATTAACATTATAAACCTCCTTCAGTTTGTCTTGCAAATGTAAAGTCATATACTATTGAATTACAAATTCTTGTCTGAGAGTTTTCATAAGGAATTTTGGATTGAACTTTTAAAAAGCCTCTGTTTTTGGAGCTGGGAATGTAGGTCAGTGATAGAATATGTGTTTAGCATGTGCAAGGTCTCAGGTTTGATCCCCAGCACCACACGCATAAAGAAAGAATTGCTTTGCTTTTTGAGGGATAGGAAATTAAGTAACAAACTACCATTTTTCACTTCTAGATACCTGGATATTTGAGTAAATTTCTTTTTGTAATGGTCTTAATGTTCCTGTCCTTTCAAGAAGTGTGACTTTCCTCCGGCTCTCCAAACTAGGCGATATAAAGCAAATACTAGACCAGTTTATTTGGGACAGCCTAGTTAGGTGTTGATTTTATAAGGAAAGCCAATCTTTGTTCATTAAAGGTATCTGGTCCTACCTCCTGTGCCATTTTCAAATATGAATTCCAGTCAAAACTTTATCAATCTATTTGTCCAGTTAAATTCTGTTAAAAGACAGAAAAGAGATTCTTAATGAACTGATGCAGATGGCTACACTACATTAGCCATGAAAAGTAGGAAACTTTCCCAGAGTTTTGAATTTGGGTTGGCTCAAATGTCAGAAGTGAGATCAGATACTACTATGAAATGTTTCAGTTTTGTTTACAGAAACATTCTAAATCTGTTATAATGGCCTAGGAAAACAAAGGCTTCCCGATCTATCCAGAAAATAGAACTTTAAAATATTAACAATATTTGGAGCAGTACAACAATAAGATCTCCTCTGGGAGCTCATTTAGTTCTTATATAATTCTGTTTCTTTGAATCTGTTAGTAATTTATTTTGATTGCCTCTACTTCTGGATTATTCCTAGAAACCTTGCTTTAGTCCAGTAGTATGATCTGAAAGTTGACAAAGCAATGTCAATATAGAACCTCGTACCCAAGAGTCTGTTCTTTGAAGTATCAATAATTTGCCAGATACAGTTCTTTTTCACAAGTCCGGTGTCTTAACATATCTTTAGCTTATAGTACTGCCTTTGGCAAATCATCAAAAGAAAATGAAAACTATAGATAGAAATTACTCTAGTTACTAGGAATTGTTAAATGTGGAATGTTTGATGATAGTAATAATAATGCTACTGATAAAGAATTTTTTTCTATGAAAGGCAAAATAAAGGTAATAATAGAATGTCTCTAATCATGATAATTAAGGCTAGTTTCCAGTAGGTACATGAGATTTATGAAAATGGGTAGACATAATTTTCATACCAAGAATGACAAGTAAATCTAATAAGTATAGAATAGGGTTCAGACATCTATATTTTCACAGAATTCCATGTGTAAGTCTAATCTACATTCCTAGTTGAGATTCACTCACTGATGTAGAAGATGCTAGATTCAAATTAGGAAAAAACCAAGATTGTATCAAACATGTCAAATAATACATGAAATTATGATAGGTACTACTATCTTGTTCTATCTGGCCCTATAACTTTAGGGCTCAAATAAATATAGGAAAATTTTGTAGAATTATTTCCTAAGGGTTTAATCAGTGTTTCTTGAAGTTTGAAAACATACAGAGAGTGAGGGAATTTACAAATCTCTAGTATCTTCCCATGAAATACACATATTTAAAATATATGAACATTTTATCTATGCTCTTAAGGAACCTTAGTGTGTCTCCTGATTTGCCAGTTTTTAGGTTAGTAACACATCAAATGTGTAGTAACTTTTTAAAAAATTTTTTTAATATTATTTAAGGAGAAAAAAAAACAGAAAAAGGGTACAAGTTATACAGAATTTCAGAAAGAATAAACAGTAGGGAATCACTAATAGATTACATATTTTATGGACAACATATGCAGAAGAATAATTCTTTTTTATTGTATTTAAAGAGAAAAAGAAAAAAACAAAAAAGGTACAAGTAATACAGAATTTCAAAAAAACAAATAGATTACATATTCTCATCTTAGAAATAGTTGTTCAAGTTACAAAATTAAAGCATATAAAGTGGACTTTCAAACAGTGAGACTGCAGTTTTGTTCAATAATCCAACAAAACTCAGTAATATGGTTGTCTATCTTATACACTTAAATATATATGCAGTTATATCCTTTAGAGCACTTTCTTTTCCTCTCTTTTGTACAATGGCAATTACAAAATGTGTAATAACTTTTATGAGGTAAAGCAATCTCTGTACTCTTATTGAGCTCTCAAAAATTTCATAAGTAGTTTTAGAGGATTTCTTAATTTATGTTCTTGATCATTTTTTGTTTTGCATTCATATTGTAAACAAAGATATTATGCAAATAATCCCATGCAAATCAAATGAGTTATGCTAACACTAACATATTTCATAACTTCATACTCAAATGTTTAATTCAAAATAAATTCATTTTCCAAATTTTATCTTTCTTTCAACATTTTCAGTATTTTGGAACATACTGACACTGTAGAACAAAACAAATCTTTCCAGAGTCCCTAACCCCTCTAAAGGAGTCTGCAAAGTAAAAAACACATTTCATAATTACACTAAAATTATTCAATACACACTGATCAAATATTTACATTTTCTTGTTTTTAATTTTTAATATGGTATATAATGTAAGAGTTGTAAGTGATAAAAAATCTGAGATTGTCACTAATATTTTGAGTTTAAAGGCGATATAGATCAAAATGTTTGAGAGTCATCACTTTAAGATTAAAACGTTTTCCTTGAAAAACAAAACCACCTTATAGTTTGTACTCTTTTGTCACTTTTCATACTATAGTTGCTGCCACTTATGTTAATTATGACTGTTAACCATGGTAACACCTGTTATTTTTAAAATGTGTTATATTTATTTGCTAAATTCCAGAGTAATTTTGTTGTGTTTTTTTTTTTTTTTTTTTTTGGTAATAGAGATCAAACTCACAACCTCTTATGCCACTAAGCTAAATCCCTAGCTCCTGGTAACATCTGTTTTGTAAAGGAAACTGGGTGCATCTCTTGAGAGATGTCATACTCAAGCATTGTCTGCTGTTTTAAGTTAAATGGAAGTTTTGAAAAATATTTTCAAGATGACATTCTTCAAAACTTAAATGTCATGGAATAATGACTCATTTTAGTTGAATACAGATTTACATGCTGTTCTTAAACAGTATAGTTTAAGCTTTGACTAGTATGCATGTACATGAGGGAAACAAAATCCAATAAAATAAGGTATTTGTATGATACTTAACAATGATGAAGAGGAGAAAGGATGTGTTTGCTTAAAACCAAAGTTAATAAATTAGTCTCATTTGCCAAAGACTTCATTTAATTCTTTTAACCTGCGTCCTTAAAATGTTCTCTTTTCTTTTTCTCTTAATATAGAGAGTGAGCCAAGGGCAAGCAGCACTGAGCTCCAAGTGTTTTGATTTAGCTTCTCGAATAAGTTTTTTCAAAATTGTAATGTAGTTAAATTATTACAGTTAAACTTGATTTTCTGGGACTAGGAATATTTTTCTTGGTAACATTTTTTATTTTATTAGTCTCTATAAAGCAATCATAGTGCTTTTTAAAGAGACAATATAATGTAATGAGTTAGTAATCTCATAGTGTATTAACAATTTCACAGTGATAACCTTTTTTGAATTAAACACATAAAGAACTTATAGCTTAAATTACTAATTTAGCTGCAGGCTAAGTGAATATAGAAATACAAAAAATTAAAACGTTAGCTGCACATTAGCTGTAATTCTTTTTAGATTCTTGATTTTAATTCACAGTGGATAAATACAAACAAAATAGATAATCTGTTCTTAACAGAGAAAAATTATTTTACAGAAACTGATTTACTCTCCATTTACAGAGAGCACCAAATGATCTCATCATAAAACTATGCATTCATTGCTGCCACTAATAGGAAATAACTTTTTGTCTGAACTAGAACAAATAGAAAATTAGGAGTGAGAAAAAAATTAGAGAAAGAGAGCAGCAGAGTTATATTTTGATTGCCAGTTGGAATTAACAACAGGAACCAAGAAAACTGAGATCATGCCTTAAGCTGCATAGCAGTGCTATGTATCTGGCTCTGTCTTATTAATTTTGGCATTAGCTACTTGTTGAATAACTTCAAAACTGATGATAGTTTTTGATAAAACAAGCTTGTTACTTTAAATAAAGTGATCATGTTTAAAAAATTTAACATATATTTCAATGGGAATAAGTTGCTTTTTTGATTTTTCAGCTTGGCTGCCTAAGGCAAATATGAGTTAATACTAGTTTACATTCTTTGTACTGAGGTACATCATCTTGGAGTCATTCTTGACTTTTTTTGTCTCTGATTACACTGATCTCTGTTTCTACCATCAGCTACCATTCTCTCTGATTACACTGATCTCTGTTTCTACCATCAGCTACCATCTTTTTCTAGACTTAAATAACTGCAAAAATCATGTTGCTCCATTGTTCAAAATTCTATAGCTTCCCATCTTGGAGTAAAAATAAGTATATTGATGCTTTCAAGGCTCTATATGATAAGGTCTCAGTTCATCTGTTGACTTCAGTTGACTTCATCTTAATACTCTTCTGTCTTGCTGACCCTACTCACTATACTTGGTCATTACTCTTCCTTACAGTACCACAGGCACACTTCTGCCTCGTTGTTTTTGTACTTGCAGTTTACCCAGAAAATATTGTTTAGATCTTATTTTAAGCATGAAGAAACTTAATATTTCCTATGTTCAGGGGCTGGGGATTTAGCTCAGCGGCATAAGCGCCTGCCTTGCAAGCAGGCAGTCGTGAGTTCGATCCCTGATACTGATAAAAAGGAAAAAGACAAAAAAAATATTTCCTATATTCTTGTTCTTCACTTTGCCTCTGCTCTTTTCCCAGTATCTGTACAGTTCTTTATCTTTATTCAGATATCATCTGACTACTCTTTGTAGTCTTCACTGGATCTTGATCCTTCTGGTTTTTCTTTTTAAGACTTAATGCATAATATTTATTCGCCTTCCCACCATGAGAACAGGGGCTTTTTATTTTCTAACACCTAGAATAGTGATGAGAGTCTAGTGGATATTACATATTTATCAAATATATGAATAAATGGGATGGGAGAGATTGGTTGTGAATAGTAATGTAGCAAGTATATATTTCTTAATGGTTAAGATTCTGGATTAGATACATATCTTGGGGAAGAAAGACTATGAATTAAAAGATAGTGTTGTAACATGGATTATAGAGATTAGCAGCTTTGGGTCAGATGCCCCATTATAAACATCTCACACAACAAAGGCAGAATGAAAGATGGGATTATTTTTTGAAGTAGAGATAGCAAAAACATTTAATAGAAACTGAAAGAAAAGAATGAGACTGAAAGACATTTGTAACTACTAAGAGTCAGTAGTCATCAGTTACTTTCCCTAAGTCTTCATTTCCCGAGTTGGAGGGGAGACAAGACAAGCTATCTTTTTAAATCCCTAAACTAGGAAAATAATTGTTATTTCATTATCTTTGGCATTCATCCATTTAAGAAACATTTGACTCCATCCTATGTAGCAGGCCAGGTTCTGGTTGCTGTTAATACAGTGGTGGATGAAACAGTTACTCACATATACCCCTTTTTCTTTTTTCTAATTTCATTTTTTAAATGTTAATCATGCCATTAATTTTGTAGGTGATGAAAGAACTATGGTCTTTGTTGAAACCAAGAAAAAAGCAGATTTTATCGCAACCTTTCTTTGTCAAGAAAAAGTATCTACTACAAGTATTCATGGGTAAGGAAATCAGTATATTCCTAGTAGGAAAATGACTTTCATTTGCTATTAAGGAAAGTTAGTATCTATATAGTCATGTACCACACAGTGTGTTGATCAGTGACTGATGTCATATATGATAGTGGCCCATTAAAATACATCTAGTGATGTCATGTGTAGGTGATAGTTTGTGTAAGTTTATATAGGTGATAGAGTGTAAGTATACTTTATAATGTTTATAAAACGATGAAATAACCTAATAACATATTTCTCAAAACATATCTCCATCATTTGGCAGCACATGTCCATAACTAGTATGATATAATCCTAGGATTGAGAACTCTCTCAAGGTCTCAACTATTACCTTTTTATTATTTTTCTCTCCTTGCCCCAGAAAGTGCAGTGCCACCTAAGAGGGTTTAACAGTTTTATTCTTCATCTTCATTCTTAGTTTTTATAGGAATCAAATGGTGAGCATGGTTGAGTTGAAGTCTGCCTTAGGGTTCTCATTATGAGGAATGGGAATGTTTTTAAGAGATTTCACTTTCAGATCTCTAGGTTATTTAAGTATTTCCTCTGTTGACTCTAATCTTTCTAATGCTTGATCTTTTTTGTTTTGGTTTTTTGGTGGTAGCAAGTGCTTAAAAATGCCACATCAACCTAACTGTATTGGTACTTTGCTGTTGTATCTAAAATGTCACCGCGTATGTAGAACTCTGAAATTGTACTTTAAAAACTCTCTTTTAAGAAAAAATATTCTAACAAAATACTTCCATATTTTTTTGTTAAGCCTAGAAATCAAAGGGATTATTAAGAAGTGAGATTTGACCTTTGTTTTGTCTGATATCTATAAACTAGCTATTATCTTACATCTGTAAATAGGGTTAATTGTCCCAATTTAGTATGGTGAAAATAAAATTGTGGCTTAGAAGGAATTAGTGTAGTACCTGGTATATACTACACTGTTTTATTATTTAAAATTTGTATATTAAACCTCAGTGATTTTTGTTTTTGAAAAGTTCTAATACAAGCTTTCTTTTCTTTCAAGTGACCGGGAACAGAGAGAGAGAGAACAAGCTCTTGGAGATTTTCGCAGTGGAAAATGCCCTGTTCTTGTTGCTACTTCAGTAGCTGCCAGAGGGCTAGACATTGAAAATGTCCAACATGTTATCAATTTTGATCTTCCTTCTACCATTGATGAATATGTTCATCGAATTGGGCGTACTGGGCGTTGTGGCAATACTGGAAGAGCTATTTCTTTTTTTGATCCTGAATCAGATAATCATTTAGCACAGCCTCTAGTGAAAGTGTTGTCAGATGTAAGTTTTAGGGTTTTTTTGTTTGTTTGCTTTGGGTTTTTTTTTTTTTTTTTTTTTTTTTTGTGGTGGTGGTGCTAGAAATCAGTCCAGGGCCTTGTGCATGCTAGGCAATCCCAGCCAGCTGGAGATTTAGCTCAGTGGTATAAATGCCTGCCTTGGAAAGCACGTAGTTGTGCATTTGATCCCTGGTACTGAAAGAAAGAAGAAAATTGTAAAATCAAATGGTTAGTGTTTTTTCTTTATTGTTGAAACAAATTTTTCCAATCTTTTTAAGACTTCATATTGTACATGAATTTTTTTTATAGGCTCAACAAGATGTTCCTTCGTGGTTGGAAGAAATTGCCTTTAGTACATATGTTCCTGGCTTCAGTGGTAGTACAAGAGGAAATGTGTTTGCATCAGTTGATACTAGAAAGGTTAGTAAGAGGAAAAATTCAGAACTTGACTTCAAGTTAAAATATTGTGCTTGATATTGTTAATTATAACATTCAGTAATTAAACCATTATTTTCATGCCTAGAAGGTAAATTATAAAATTTTATGTGCATATATATTTTTGGGTTTTTAAAGGCAAGGAATTAACCTTGTTCGATTTAAGCATCTTCCTTTACTGAATTTATTGGCAATTTTAAATTCTAATTTGGGATCTTTTGAACTTTTTTCAGGATTTTAATTTAAAAAAACTTGACCACATTAAGATAAAAATACTAGAGCTGTAGGACTGCAAGTCTTATGTTTTTATGCAATGAGCATACTAATTAAATGTTTGTGCATATTTGTTGAAGTGTAACATTAAGTTTTTCCATTTGCAAAACTAATGGCTTAAAAATTGTGAATTATTTTGTGCAGTTTAGACTTTCAGTTTGATAGAAGCCTTTTATCAAGTGATTCAGATTTAGTGAGAAAGAAGGTCTATATATTTGGGGCAGAGGAGGTAGAAAGCTTGAGTTCCTGTTTTCATCCTGGGAAATGTAATTTTAAAGCTGTCATAAACTAAAATTTTCTTTCTTTTTTAAAGAATTACCAGGGCAAGAACACTTTGAATACAGCAGGGTTTTCTTCACAAGCTCCCAATCCAGTTGATGAAGAGTCATGGGATTAAAGCTTAAAAAAAAAAAAAAAAGGTTCAAGTCTGTGGTACAGTTTTGATGCTGAGAAGACAATAGTTTTGATTTTTAAATTTTAAACAGAAATGTGAAACCTGACATTCTCGTATTGCCTGTCATTCTGTTGTCCCACCTGTTAAAAAAAATTCTTTTTGATTAGTGCTTAGAGTTTCAATGTTGCAGTTACTGATACAAATGTCATTCACTGGAAGTGCTAAAGCATTCTAAATGTCTTATTTCTAGAATATTCAGGCAATTGAGACAAGTTACATGTCTAAGTGCTGTCTTAGTATGTTTATTTTATAAAAATAGTTAAGATGATAAATATTTGTTTAAAAATTATTGGGTGTCAATTTTACTTGAGCCTTTAAATAACAGTGTGTCATTATAATGTGATAACACTATAATGTGATTTTTTTATGAAACAGTAGAAGACTGAAGCCTGTCAAAGTGATTTTGATTTCAGATTACCAAATGTGTGCTGCAAATAGTTAAATGTTTGCAACATGTGAGCTCTGTACTCAATGGCATGACAAATGTTTTCTTTTTTTCCTTTTCCTTTTTCTTTTTTTATAATATGCACTTTCCTTGGAAATAAAAGATGAAACACATTTTCTCCTAAGTTTTTTAGGTGCATGTTTGATTTTTTTGTTACATATCACAGTTCTGAATGCATTTCATCTTGTGAAATGAATACAATGAATAAAAGTCTCACACAGGGCTAGAGATATAGCTTAGCAGCATAGCACCAGCCTGGCAAGTGTGAGGTCATGAGTTTGACTGCTGATACCAAAAAAAAAAAAAATCTTACACAAAGTAAATATTGATGTATGACATACTTGCTACACTAAATATTAATGTGTAACATACTTGCTACAAAAAATAAATACTAATGTATAACATATTGCCACACAGATGTGGTAATGAAAATCAGTCTTAAACTTCAAAAAATGCTATTCATTCTTGCCATAATTTTGATTCATATTTTGCAGTCATTGAGAGAATTCTATCTTTTTCATTCACCACTGTATATCTTAAACTTATTGTGCCCAGAATATAAATTGTTAAACAAACAACCTCAAACATTGACGTGAAACAAGTGTATTGTCGAGACAAAAATTACCAGTTTGCTACTATTACTCTTAACAGTCTCCAGTAACAGGTCACTGATGTATTATCATGGTATATGAATTTAGTTAATAAATGTCACATATGCAAAAGGAAAGGATATTTGACAGTGTTAGAACAATTGGTTAAATGCCTATCCCGTTATACTTAATACTAATTCCATGTGAACTATAAAAAGTTCCTACTATAAAATACATTATTAAAACTTTCAAATTAGAGATAAAGGTTGGTTTTTAAGTTCCAAAGACAGAATCACAAAGGAAAATGTAAACAGGTTAAAGGGAATATGAATGTATGTGTGTATATATAAAAACTGAAAAGACAAACATTGCTGTGACTGCAGTTGATTTATTAGTATGTGGTTCTTTAGGTATGGATGTGTAGACAGCTCAGAAAGGGAAAGCTCAGTAAGTCTGGGAAATATTTCACCTTGTGATGAGTCTGAAAAAGACTAAAAATGTTTACATTGTTATTTATAATATTTGCATGCTTTAATTGTTTTAAATTTGTATTGTTTACAAAGAGCATTCATAGTTCATTGCTTTTTATTCAAAGCTCCTTACTCAGCTGATTGCTTTTTAAGATTTTTATTTTATTTGATATGTGAAAGTACAATCAAATGCATTGCTGAAAATACAAAGATGGAAAGAAAAATCCTGAATAACCCAAACACTATTATAGACGAACTGAAAATATCTTTATGTTCGGTTATTTTCCCATTTCTAGATATAGATTTGAATGTTGTCTTTAAAAATTATTGAAGTAACATATATCTAACATTAGAAAACAAAATCCTAGAAATGTTTATAATAGAAAATGTTTTGTCCCTTTTCCAAATTGTTACCCAACATCCTATAATCAACTACCTTTAACCATTCCTGTTTCCATCATGTACACATATATTTTTGTCTGCCATATTTAAAGATATATTAAATTTTTGTTTAGTAGGTAAGGATTTAACTTAACCTTTCTTTAACTCACTTTAGAAGGATACCTCGTGAGAGGATATTAAAATACCTTTTTTTCCATTTTTCTTTTGCATTGTAACATTTGTAAGTCATGCATTTATTTTTCCAAAGTTAACATTTGTATTCTGGACCATACAGTCTCTTTTGTTTTATCTATAGGTTGATTTTAAAAGAGAGTAGCCAGTGTTTATATTTGCTTATGTAAATATTCACTGGATAATGGGCCAGTTAATATATTCTTCATTATCTTTTCTGTTTTTGACTTGCGTGTGTGTGTGTAGATTACCAGAACTGTTGAGTCAGTTCTCTTTTATCATGCCATTTGTGCGTATGTTTTAGTACGATATTTTCTTTTCCTCCTATACTGGGGATTAAGCCCAGGAGCACTATCCCTCTGAGCTACATTCCTAGCCCTTTCAGGGTCTCGCCAAATCACCCAGATTGGCCTTGAACTTGTTCCTGCCTCAGCTCCCTGGGTAACTGAGTTTACAGGGGTGTGCACCATGCCCAGCTGTTTAAAAAACGATTTTAATATTTGAGTTATTTTTAACTCAAATATTTATTAGTATATTTTCTGACATTAATACTTCCTTAATTCATGAAATTTAACCTAAGAAACCAGTATTTCACACTGGGCATTTTTCCCATGTTGGCCTTGCTTTAGACATTTTAAGACTTCATTTTACAGGTTGTATGTATATTTAATGTAACTCATCGAGTTCACTTTAGTCAAATTCATCAATCTGTCCCATTTTGGTATCTTTTCATCTTTTAGTCTAGTGTCCTTTTCTCTAGTTCTATTCAAACTCCCCTCAAGGTTAATTTTCTGATAAAGGTTATTTTTTCTTCCTGAATCCTTGCATTGTGGTAGACGCAAAAGAATGGCCCAAATTATGCAATCCAGAGTGTGAAGTGAAAAGAACCAATAGTACATAACAGGACTGTCAGAATGATAGTAGTGTAATAGGGAACAGGTGGGAATAGATCTGATCCATATGATGGGTAACCTACCTGCTCAACCTATGCCTTGGAAGTGATTTAGAAGTGGATTTCCTGACTTTTTAAGCACTGGCTGCATTTCTATATTAGAGGAGCAGTAATGGGGAGCTTACCCATTCCCCTTTCCTATAGTTTCACTTGACTGGGTAGTTGCCTGTCTGTTACCCTTATTTGGGTGAGAGCAACTTTTCACTGTTTGCTGAGACCTTGATTTTTAAATGTATTGAAAAGTATAGCTGTTTATTCTTTTCGGGCATTTTAAGAAGCTCGTTTTAAAACTTCAGCAACTTGCCAATAGCTGTTCTATGCTGTGTCCAACTTCACATGAACCCTGCATTAGACCAAACCATGTCTTCACAACTTTCTTTTCTTAGTACAAATTAGTCCAGAATGGAGTCTCTCCCAAGGCCCTGGCTGTGAGGAGCTAGCCAGAAAACTGCCAAGCTTGGGCAGCCTTTGGAGCTGCAATCCTGAGAAGCTGAGGCTCTCGGAGGCGGTGCTGAGTTTTGCGGAGGCGGTGCTCAGGCGTGACCCTGACCCTGTGGTCCTTCCGCACTCACAGACTGGCAGCAGGAGTCTTTCTGGGTTCCTGGGTTGCAGCAGGAATTTGGAGAGGTAGGATCTGGAGGACTGAGATGCTGCAAAAGAGTTCATTCAGCCAGGAGCTCAGGCTGATCGCACCAGGTGAGTGGCAGGGGGGCGGGGCGGCGGGAGTAACTGGCACCACAAGTCTCGGATTTCTTTGCAGAGAATTAGAATTTAAAATTGCAGTTCCTAATCCTGTTGTATAACGTATGATTCGTTTTATATTAAAAATTGTTGATTTATCGTTATCCAACAGATTAGCAAACCCATACAGAACTACAGATTAAGAGAGGACAGAAATGACAAGGTGTGTAGAGAGACGCTGAAAAATGAACAAATGAGATCTTGAAGCAAGCTTGAGAGCTGGCAGCTGAAGTAAATTCTTCAGCCCCTTAGCAATTATTTTACTTTTTTGTTGTTAGTAGTACATATTTGCAGTACATAGTGATTACATTCCTCGTGGGAAGTTGGTACATGTAGACTTAATTCTTTTTCTTCATCCTGTCTCTCACTCCTCCCGTTCTGTGCTCTCCATCAAAAGATGGTCTCCTCCCCGCCTTTTTAGCTCTCATAAATTTTGCTGCTGCAAGCATAGATGTGCAGCATCATTGTAATATGATGACTTTTCATTCTTGGAAGTAACTAGAAGGAGAACTGGGTCAAATGGAATTTCTAGTGTCAGCTTTTTGAGAACTAGTGATTGTACTATTTTATATTCTCACTGACAGTGTAGCAGGGTTCCCTCCACAGCCTCTCCAGCACTTGTCATTATTTGATTTCTTGATATCATACTTGAGTAAGATGGTATCTCTGTGTTGTTTTAATTTACATTTCTACAATGGTGAGATGTAGTCAGTGTTTTTAAATGTATTCATTGGGCATTTGTACTTTTTTGAGAAGCATCTGTTTATTTCAGTTGTCCATTTTCTACCGGGATCTTTTATTTTGAAGGGTCTAATTTTTTTGAGTTCTTTACATATGATAGATATTAGTACTTTGCCTGAGGAGTAGCTAGAAAGAATTTTTTCTCATTCTGTAGATTATTTTTTCAGTCGGTTACTGTGCAGATGCTTTTATATTTGATATGATCCCATTTGTTGATTCTCAGTATTATTTCTTGTGTTATTGGAGGGTTTATTCAGAAAGTGCTTCCCTATGCCTGTCTTCAAGAGTTTTACCTATTTTGTCCTATCATTTAAATCTTGGATTCATTTTGATTTTAGTTTAGTACCTGGTGAGATATATTGGTCTGTACTCAGTCTTCTGCATGTAGCTGTCTACATTTTACTGTACCATTTATTAAAGGGCTCTCTTTCCTCTTGTGCATATTTTTGGATCCTTTGTTAAAGTAACTTAATGTACCTCAAGTTGTTTCTGTTTCTTTTATTCTGTTCCTTTGAGGCACATGTCTATTTTGGGGCCAGTACCATGCTACTTTTTTTTTTTTTTTTTTTTTTGGTGCCAGAGATTGAACTCATGACTTTGCTCTTACCATACAAGCACTTAAGCTAAATTCTTAGCCCCACCATGCTGCTTTTGTCATTGTAGCTTTGTAATAAAACTTCAGATACCCTCTGCTTTGCTAGGATTGTTAGCCTGTGTTTCTTTTGCTGTTCTGGGACTTTTGTGGTTCCATATTAATTTTTGTTTTCTTTAGATCTGTGAGCAATGCCCTTGGTAGTTTGATTGGCATTGTATTAATCTATACATCAGTTTTGGCAGTATCGCCATTTTGACTAGTATATTGGTTCTGCTTATTCAGGAACGTGGGTTATCTTTCCATTTTCTGATTCATTCTCCTTTTTTCTGAATGATATAATTATCATTGATGAGGTTAATTTCTAAGTATTGATTTTTATTGATACTATTGTGAATGGTATTGTTTTCCTAAATTCTTTCTTAATGAGTTTATTAACAGAAAAGCTATTGGTTCTTGTGTGTTGATTTTTACCCTGCTATAATGATGAATTTTGGTATTAATTCTAGGTATCTTGGTGGTATTTTTTGTCTTGTAGGTAGAGGATCATATAATCTGAAAGTAATGACACTTACACTTTATGCTTGGCTATGTATATCCCTTTTATTTCTTTCTCTTGTGTAATTGACCTAGCAAATATTTGAGAACTATGTTGAAGAGGAGTGGATATCTTTGTCTTGTTCCTCATCAGGTCCCTGGTCTAGGACCACCAGTTTCCTGCTCAGCAGTACAACAGTAGAATAAAATACAGGCAAAACATATATTTTAGTTAGAAGGGGTGCCAGGATGGTCAAAGCTCAATGACAGGGTAGAATCATGAGGCATGGTGTCTTTGGATTTTATTAGGTATACAACTTGATTGAGGGGTGAGCTGGTGAGCTGCAGGAAGCAGTAGCAGTAAACTGCTAATGCAGTGAAGGTTCAAGAATTGAGAAACAGTGCATTTTTGGAAAAGCACACAGGAACAGGTGAGGGTTGACTAGTACCTGACTGTCTGCTAACTGCAGCTACTGAGCTAGACAGAATTTGCACGAATCAAGGTCCTCAGCTATCATGCTATCTTGTTTTGAGGTCCCAGATCTTTACAGACTGTTAGCCTCAGCTCTGGCCATTGACTTAAAGGTTAATCTGTCCTTAAGTTGGGGCTGTTGCTGCAAATCATGTAAGTCTAGGACAGACTATTTTTGTGCCAATTTATTAATATTAATTATTGCCTGGTCTGTACTATGTCAAGCTTTCCTCAGCAGTTCCTGATTTTAGAGGGAAAGCTTTCAGTTTCCCCTATTTAATATGATGTTTTTTATCGTAATTTGGTTTTTTATTAGATTAGGATAAGATCCTCTATACTTGTTTTCTTCAGGGTTTTTATATGAATAGATGTTGAATTTTGTCAAAGGCTTTTTCTTGGATCTATTGAAATCTGATTTTGCACTTCTGTTTGTGATGGATTGCATTTATTGATTTGCATATATTAATTCATGCATTCCTGGGATGAAGCTTACTTGGTCGTGGTATATGATCTTTTGATGCTTTGTTGCATTCTGTTTGCCAGTATCGTGTTGAGGATTTTTGCATCTGTCTTCATTTGAGAGATTGGCCTGTAGTTCTTTTTTCTGATGGATCTTTGTCTGATTTTAGAACAAGGTAATCCTAGCTTCTAAGAATGACTTTAGGAGTTTTCCTTCCCTTTTAATTTCATTAAAGAGTTTAATGGGTATTGGCATTAGATCTTCCCCTTACAGAATTTGGCAGTGAATCTATCAGGTTGTGTGCTTTTTCTTAGTTGATTAGTTTTTTAAAATTACTGCTCAATTTCACTACTTGCTACTGGATTATTCAGGTTATTTATTTATTTATTTATTTATTTGGTACTGGGAATCAAAATCAGAAGCTTGTGCTTGCCAGTTAGGTGTAGTGCTGCTGAGCTATATGACCCTTAAGTTTTAAATCGTCTTGATTTGCTTTTTGTAATTCATAAATATGTAGAAATCTATTTCTTGAATTCTTCAGTTTATTGCATATAGGTTTGTGAAACAGTTGCTAATAATCTTGACAATGACTGTCTTGGGATTTCACCTTTTCATTTCTAATTTCATGATCTGTGTCTCTTTTTTTGGTAAGATTGCCTAATGCTTTGTCTTAATTATTCTTTTAAATAACCAGCTCTCCAATTTGATTTCTTTTTTGGTCTTTATTGCTTCAATTTCTAAGCAACAACTACAGAAAGGGGGTAAGGTATAGAATTGGTGCTGCTACTTTTGTCTGTCTACCCTGCCATTAACTGTTTCTTCTCTGCCATGCCCCTCTCCCACGCTGTACTGCTAGAAACCAGCCAACTGTGGAGTGAAACTGTGAAGAACAATATATTTTTTGGGGGGAAATCATTTCATAATTAAATTGTGGATAGGGCTTTTCTGAGGCTTAATATTTTGCCATGAAAGCTGGTTTTGGTATGTGGCCTCCAGTTACAGTTGAGGCCTCAGTGTACATGATGCTGTGATGCTGCAAGGCAAGATTACATCTTTTTCCTTTTCCCTGAGATATTATTTCTTCCCCTTTGAGCAGATTCTTACCATTTCACAGTATTTATTGAGGATTTTGTATCTTATGTACTCTTACTGTTTCCTACACTAGGGAGACTATATGGTATTTACACATGTGAGTTTGATTTATTTCACTTATGAGTATGGTCTCAAGTTGCATCCATTTACCTATAAAAATCTTAATGTGACCATTCTTTATAGCAGAGTAGTACACCAATGTATAAAAGTGCCACATCTTTTTTATTCATTCCTCAGTTGATGAGCATTTGGGTTGTTTCCAAGATCTGGCTATTACAAATTGTGATGCTATAAACATGGGTGCACATATATCACTGTGGTGTGATATTTTCAGTTCTTTTGGAAATATGCCCAGAAGTGGAATAGCTGGGTCAAATGGGATTCCAATCCTAGCTTTTTGAGAAATCTCCAGAATGACCTCCACAGTGGTTGTATCAGTCTATACTCCCACTAACAATGCAGGAGAGTTCCTTTTTCCCCACAGCCTCTTCAGCATTTGTTGTTGGTAGTTTTCTTGATCCTGGCTATTCTTTCTGGAGTGAGATGGACTCTCAGTGTTGTTTTAATTTGCATTTCTCTAATGACCAATGAAGCTGAACATTTTTCCATGTATTTATTTGTCATTTGTATTGATTCACTGAGAACTGGTGTATTCATGTCAGATGCTCATTTTTGAGAGCATTTTTGAGTCTTTGAATTTTGGGGTCTGATTTTTTAAAAAATATTATTTAAGAAGAAAAAGAAAAAAACAAAAAGGGTATAAGTTATACAAAATTTCAAAAAAAAAGGAAACAGTACGAAATCACTAGTTAATAGATTACATATTATCATCTTAGAAATAGTTGTTCAAATTGCAAAATGAAAGCATGTAAAGTGGACAAACACTGCAAACAGTTCTGTTCAATGATCCAACAAAAACTCAGTAATATGGTTATCTTCTATGCTTAAATATACATGCAGTTATATCCTTTAGAGCGCTTTCTTTTCCTCTCTTTTTTACAATGACAATTATATATTTTGGGTTTTATTACTCCCACAGTTCTTATTACTTTTTTTGAAGA